GATTTCCGCGTCTCGCATTACTCAGCCTTCTCCGGGCTGCCGGCTATGCGGGTCAGAGTACCTGTAGGCGTGCGCTACTTCCTACCTGTCTACAGAGAGCACCATCTCCTCTATGCACCCCTTGATCTTGTTCTGCGCCTCCAAGTGAGTCATGCCCTCCGTCGGCTCGCCGCCGATGGCCAGGATCATGTCGCCGATGCACAGGTTGGCCTGAGCGGCTTTACTCGCCGGGGTCACCTGCACAGGAGACAGGAAAGTCACTTAAAAGTAGTTTTAAAACGAGCACACAGAAAGTAACTGGAATCAGAGCTACACGGGAAACACACCATCGGCTGACAGATAACATGTCTAAGAGGGGCTGAACGCTCCTGCGGTGTTGTTTAGCGCTGACCTTCATGGACCTCAACACAGGTCAGTATTTACAGTAAACAGGGGCAGAGGTCAGGCTCACTCGGGAGGGAAACGGCTCAATGGGAGACAGAGAATCGGTGCAGAATCACTGTTCCACTGGAACAACATTTACTGAGCCGCCGCCACTCAGTGGTACCGAAAGCACTTTAGTGATGCATTACTTGTGCAGTAGGTTGCAGTTCTGTGACGTTTGGCCACACCGGGAAGTAACAGAAGGTGCTGCAAGAGCTGCCAGGGACACGTGGATATTTCAAAATAAATGTAAAAAAAGTCCCCCAAATATGTTTTTAAGTTAAAGTTGGGACTATACGAGATTAAATATTGCAGCAGAGGTAAATAATTAAGTCTGCCAACATGAGGAAATACTTCCAGTAGGACAATATGTAAAACTTCACCAAATAAAGCGCAGCGTCGAGCTTCAAATTGACAACGTTATAAAGTTATGTGGCAAAATGTCGCGTTAGCTGCATGAAAGTGCACTAAAAAAAAAAAAAAAAACATACAATTCTTGTCGGTGGCTGAAAGTAACGTTACAAACACGAACACTGTAGCGAAGCCCGCTCGGGTAACGCTGAACTAACGTAAAGTTAACGTCGCGTTGACTAACGTGAACCTGCGGGGAGCGGAACGCCTCGCGGGCACCAGGTGCGGCCGCGCGCGCGCGCGGGGCATCTTACCCGGGAAATAGTCAGCGGCTGCTCGAAGTCCTTTCCCCCGACCAGCCTGAAGCCCCAGGGCCCGGGACCCGGCATTACAACCCGGAGAGGCATGGCGGCGTCGTCTCTGAAGCAGCGGACTGGTACCGTGTCTGAGGCTCTGCGTCCGACCACCGGGTCACTTCCTGCTGCGTGTGACGCGCGCCGGGATCGACGGGCAGCAGCAGAGGAGAGGGTGGGCCCTCAAGTCACACTCCGGCCAACGGATTAAGAAGTTTCCTCACTGATAAATGAGAGACCCAAAGATCGTATATCGGGAAAAACGTATCACTCGGTATTATTTTCTGATCATCCTAACTGGGACCGATGGGACCAAAACCACAACCATAACATTTGCACAGCAACTGATTGAACTTACTGAGGTGTACCAGCTACAGCTTACAATGCATTTTATATTCATTCACGGGACAACATCTGAAAATAGAGCCCAATACATTTGCATTTTAAAGCTAAAATCCTTTAAACTTCAGTTGATTTCAACTGTCACTGTGTTTCCAAGCACCAGAATCTCTTTAGAAAAGCTCTCCTTTTACATTAGCAGAATCCAACAGTCTGCACAGACACATCTGCTCTGGTTGTAATGGAGATGATACAGCAAGATCAGTATTATATTCAGACTGTTTCATAACTTGTTCAAAGTTCCTCAAAGTAACTTAACATTATCAGAGCGTGTGGGATTGGAGCCACAGGCAGGAGAGGTGTGACAAAGTGAGGGACTCTAATGCATTTTTGATTTCAGTCTTTTCTTGAGACTTACTGAAGAAAAATAACTAGAACAATAACGTGCAACTTTATGCTTGTATTGTCCTGATGAATAAATACCACGAGACACCTCCCCTTTACCCGGTTGTCTCTGTAAAGGACACTTGTCTCTAAGAATCTCTTAGATTATTTCAATATTCCATCTGAATAGCAACAATGACGGTGGCTCGTCGATGCTCTTAATAGACGACCTCTGATCAGCGTTCTGACTCTGCGCTGGAAGCCGAGCAGAGTGGTCCCTCCTCATGTCCTGCTCAGGGTGTGTTTGAGGGATGTCGGCCTGCCGGTACGTCACCGTGTTGTGTGCGAGTTTACCATTTATGGTAGAGCTAAATCCCAGGATGTGGAATGTGCCGCTCCCAAAACTTGAATTCCAGCCAGATGATCTGTGCTGGAAGCGGAGAGGGAAACGCTCCTGGTAGACTGACCCCACGAAACAAGTCCTCTATGGGGGCCTTCATGCATCCTCAGCAGGCCCTGAAGTCCACGTGGGCCTCAAAGTCCTGAAGTTTTAGTTCAAGTCGGCTGTACAAACAAATCTGTCAACATCTTCACCTCGATGAGATTTCACCCAAATATTTATGTAAACCTAAGTTATCCTCTTTAACACTTGAAAAAAAAGATCCTCATTCACAGTTCAGAAGCCCCTGTAGCTCACGCACATCTGCATGAGCTCATGGTGAGAATGAGCCCTTAAGAAAGTTTATGTAGCTATTAGCTCATAAAACACCAACATTCACGCCAACTCGGCTCCACCTCTGCTGCCATTCAGACCGTTGCTAGAAACAGAATCGGGTAACACACCAAATGGTTTAAACGGTTTATTAAATATTGCATAATACCGAAGTCACAGCAGTGTATAGTATCTTTATTTTAATATTATCAATGTAACAGCACTGCAAATTGAAGCAAACAAACAAACATGTTGCAGGTTGTGTGTCTCATGATTGTTAATCATAATGAGATTAGGACTAATGGTAAAACCATGGTTACATTAAATATGTCATGGGTACATAATAATGATCACAGCCCCCCCAAAAAATAAAAGACACCTAAATGAAAATGAGGCACAATTTTTGCATCTAACATAATGCGTTATGATCGTCACAAATGGCAGCGTAATGTTCACATGCTTTAAACTTCCCGTGCTCAGTAACGCTCCACTCTGTGCTTTGCCACAAAAATCCTTCAGGTAAATAAAGCGCTGCGAGTGACGGACGTCCCACCGCTCGCAGTCCATTTCTTATTTTACATATTTACAATCCTTCTTGTGGCTCGCTGTAGTCTGCATGTTCATTCGAGGTGAAAACACTGACACGTTTCGTGTGCATTGCATCACATTCATACATTCATGGATCCTGTGGCGTACGAACAATATCACAGGAACAATCAGGGATGAGTCGTGTGGATTGTGTTTATTTGTCCATCGTGTGGTGTGCGTGTGCTTTTGTTCTGTCAGGGAAACACTTTGACTCCCAATCAGGACATGCCAGGCGGAGCGAAACACTATCTGAGCGGCAGTGGAGGGGAAAACCTGCTTTTGTGGTGTAACAAAATACCTGAATATTATATCAGTGCTTCACAGGCAAACCCATAGTGTGCCGTGCTATCTTGAGAAAACATTCCGTATCAGATTTGTTGGCAAAAATGACGGCGGTGAGAAAGTTACTCCTGATTTTGTCTCAACAAGCGAAAGTCAGAAAAAGGACGAAACACTGATTGCTACTGACTTTTGTTGTATGAGTGCAAATGTTAATAAACTTCATACATTACTTCTGTGGCAGCCACTTACAGCTTCAAACCGTGTTCCAAATGTTTATCATCACCGAGCCACTGTTCTTCCTTTTAATACTTCAGGTCATGTTCCCGATTCTGTGTACTCATTTGATTAGAAATGTGTGGATTGGGGCAAAGGATCCGGCAGATAGTCACACTAGTGCACCTGGAATAAACAAAACCAAATCAAATACCTCCGCAGCGATTTCCCTGCACACGGCCGGTCGGAGCAGGTCGTAACACGCAGCGAGAGCTGCTCAGTGCTAAGACCTGCAAAGGATTCATGAGCACAGACCGGCGGTTGATGACAATGAGGAATCTGATGAAGATGCACAGAACAAACAACAGCGATCGTCTCTGACACGTGGCGTCTGTTACAGGATCTGACGCAGCTCGGTGCGAGGGCTCGGATCGCTTTGATAGCCCAAGGAATTCAAAGCGATCTTCCGTAGGGAGCGATTAAGGCTCAAAGAGCCGACTGTCATCGCTACTAATGCTTTAAGCTGAAGGCGGCGAAATGTTGAGGCGATGGCCGGTCGTGTTTCGCGCTCCGATTTGATCTGTCAAACACTGTGCACGTTGTGCTCACTTCTGTCATTTCACGAAGCGTATAACCCAAATTGTCTACATTACATATGAAAATATGGAGCCATATTTGAGAGGCCTCTTAAAAGTTTTCTGTACACATTTACACGGCGGAAAAACATACAATCTTGTCAACAGGGTCAAGGTTAAAATCTCAATATGCTATTAAAATGATTATATTCTGAGACGTGTTGGCTTCGCTTTAAACATGAAATATCCTTTTTTTGGTGATTAATCTATTATCATTATCTTGTTATGTGAGATCTGCACGGCATCTAGCGCGAGCTACTGAACGAGGCACAAAAATACAGCTAAATAGAGGATGTGCGCATACACAACCTAAGCGGAAGGAACGGACGGCCACATTCAATTAAACGTCTGCTAACACTGAAGGTTTTCTCTTGGTCGGCCTCCTACTTCGCTAATCATGATGAACCCCTCTGGTCCTGCAAGGTAGCTCGCGCCGAACACCACACATCTCGTTCAGGTAAAAAAAGATCCACTCTTCAACCCGCACGGCGCTCTGCTGCCGGCCTCCGCACTGAGGTGCTACGTAAACACGTATGTACTCTAGATGACATGGACAGGATGGAAGCTATCATCTGCACAATAGACGCTACTTTGAGTGAGGTTGTCACGGAGAAATTCCACACGTGGAGACAGACGGGATTCTGTCAAGAAGAGTGTGTGAAGCGTTGTCACGGTGTTCACCGTGCTGAGGTTCGGCCAGTGAGCGGTCTCCGTACTCTTCTCCCTCGTGCAGTTTGACATACCTCAGGACCAACCGAACACGTTCCCAGACAAAATGACTACGCTACCCAACAGCCATGCGAGATAGTAGTGACTTCCCAAGCTTGACAGGCGACCATGTGTTACAGCCAGATTAGACATCGTTACAGTTTTGCCTCCTTCACGTAATTCCCAGGAAACGTCCCGAACAGTTTTGTCCTCTTTGAGGTTCCTGTTGACAAAAGACAGAAAACAGGATCAGGTAACAATGAAAGTAAAAAGCTTAAACGCTAAAACCACCTTGACTATAATGCAAAAAAACACCACCTTTGAGCTAAAGGGAAGTGCAAGTCGTGTGCACGTTACACTCAATCCTCCACTATCATGCTTTAGAAACTGGAGGGATGTGAAAATGAGACTACTTCTGCCCTGAGCTGCACATTGCGGGCGTACAGTCCTCTGCTGTCACTCCGCAGCGACCCTGGGAGGATTAATGGGACACAGGGAGTGTGACTGCATCCCAGAGGAATCATCCCCGGGGGGCCAGCAGGCACATACCGACAAACCAGCCGTCATCGCACTTCTCCATGACGCTGACGAGATCGCCCTCCTGCAGCTCCAGCTCGTCTTCGTTCTGCGGCGCGTAACTGTAAAGCGCCTGGAAACTGGAGAGAGAAATAGACCGGTTCACGAGACACAACATTCTGAACCGCTAATGAAATAATAAAACCCTCCAACCAGAAAAAACAAAAACAAACATGGTGTGAAGGAGAGACCGAAAGGGATCTTACTCACATTCCACAGTTGAGACGGTTCGGCTCCGGGCTGCTGCTGTGGGACTGGGGTTGCTGGGAAATGATGAGAGAGTGTTTACTGGGCTGGGGGTGCATTCTATGGGCAGAGTCACGAGGGAGGTGGGACAGGGTGCTGCAGTACCTCACCGAGGTCTCAGCTATATTCAAGATCTCATTACACACTGCCTCCTAGGAGGAGGAGGAGGAGTGGGTGAAGTCGTCAGAGAAAGAGAGAACAGCGGCCCCACCGAGAGTCCCGGAAGAGGCCGAGGTGAAGAGGTGAGGAGTTAGAGGGGGAGGGGGTCGGGTGGTGAGGGAAGGGCGAGACAGGAAGGTCGGTCCGGTAAGTAGCAAGGCGGGAAAGGAAGTGATCCATTAAGAGCCAGGTGAGAAAGCAGAGGAGTCGTTGGTGGCGACCAGGAGGAGAGGCATGAAAGGGCGAGGCACCAGAGTGAGAGCATGTAGACAGGAAACATGAGGTATTAGTTCACTTTCTAACAGGACACTGTACAGGATGATCATGCAGTATTTAAGGGAAGCCCACTGGTACAAATAAGGAGCTTGGTGTTATGGGTGAATGTACTTGTGTGTTCCCTTATTTGTTTTCTTGCTGAGGATTAGACGAGAAGATGGATCCCACTCACATATCTGTCCATTCAATGTGAAGCTGAAGCCAGCAGCAGGCTAGCTTAGCTTAGCATAGATACTAACAGTGAAACAATCTGCAGTTTAATGTAGTTCTGTGTTATGTTTTTTCTTGGAGAGACGCAGGGCGTTCGTAGTGTTTCTGCTCAATGTTGTAACTGAGCAACTTTCCTACGAGATGTCACTTCTTTTTGCAGTGCTTTTTCTTTTTTTGTTTCGGAGGTTAGTTTACTTCAGTTTAAATGTTGTTTTATTGAACTGAGGATAATTTATCTCCCCCTCTACTCCAGCTTATCGACCTGGTTCAACAAATTCAGTCATATGGCTCCTGACTCACAAACGGTCTTTGAACAGATTAAACAGAACATACAGTAACACACTGTGTTAATAACTGAGGTCTACTGGCACCGCTAGTTGAATCATATTAGCTTTAGACCAAGCCAGGCTCGCCCTTCCCCGTTTTGGGTCTATGCTAAGCTAAGCTAACCCTAAGCTAAGCTCGCCTCTACAGAGGAGGCAAACATGACAGTGGAATTGATCTTCTACTTCTTAAGCAAGAAATCAAATACATACATATATATACATATATATATCCATAGATGTCATACTACTCCTTTAATAAAGGGAAAGTTCCTATTTTGGTTTGTTGCACAAATATAGAAGACAGAATGGGAGTTAAAGAAGATGTGAGTCAAATGGATCTTCACAGGTGATTTGTTAATAAGTCAAACAGATGAAGAGGTCACTAAACAAACTCCAGTGGAGGTGAAGGAGAACTCCACCTTACCGTGAAGGAGTTCACGTTGTTGTTATCTTGGATGTCAAACAGCATCACGGGGCTCTGGGAGCTCCGTCCGTGATGGTCAGCCTCGTTCTTCACAAACTGCAACACAAAAATGTCAAATCAGCGAGGCCATTTACAACAGATAAAAGCTCTCACAGCAGGCATGCGCCACCTGCTGTGAATACCGTCATACCTCAGCCACAGTCAGGTTGCATTTCCCCCTTTGAAACACAAGCCAACATGTGAAACCTGTAAATACGGACTAATAAACATGTCACCATCCTAAATAAACTTCCAAACTCCCAACGGCATCCGTGTTATTACACCTCCGCATCGAACCACCACAACAACATGCTGAGTTTTATGAAGGGGAAGAAACTGGAGCTCTCACACGGATCCTGGAACCACAAACACAACAGCTCCTCTTGCATGTGAAGCGCACCACATGAGCACCAAGACACTGTAGAACACACGCGTGTTAGTAGCGCACACACAACATGCAGACTTGCAGTCCTAAGCGGTGGGACCAGTTTGGAATTAACCAGCCAAAACCAAAACCAGCAGATTTATCCGTGTGGCCAAACAAATGTTGCTTCAGAACACTTCATCTCACGTCTGTCTAAAGGAACCAAACGGGGGCCAAAGGCCCGCGTTGCAACACCGCACACCATGCAGAAGATACCTCTGCGGGGCTATTTCGCCTGCCTCCCGGGGCTCCGTGGCCCCCGTCCCCCTCTGCGATTTCCCCCTCTGTCAACTCCTTCTCCCCCCTCAACCAGCCCTCCAGCACCGGCCCTCCACAGGGGCTCACGCTGCGTGACAGGCGTGGGGAGAGGGGGCGGAGCAGGAAGTCCCCGCCCTGCGGTGGGGTGAACGTGAGGAAGGGGGTGGTTGAGGTGGGCCTTGGCGGGTAAGGCGGGGGGAGAGGCGAGGCGGACGGGGAAGCCATGGGGGAGATGAAGTACGGGCTGCCGGTGACGGGGGGCACTGGGCTGGCAGAGTAGGGCGGGGGCAGGTACTCGCCGCAGCGGTAGGACACGGAGGGCAGCGGCGGCAGGGGAGGGGTGGGGGCGGTCGGAGGGCTCCCTCCTCCCACGGTCAGGGAGATCCACTCGGAGGAGATGGCGTGGACTTTGGGGGAGACGGAGCGACGGGGGGAGCGCGGGAGGGGCAGCGGGGAGGTGGTCAGACGGTTACGATATAGCTTTTAAGAGCAACAGAAACAGGGGGGGAGGGGCGGGGGTATTAAAGCAACGAGGGGGTGAGAGAAGGAAAGGAAGGAAAAATGAGAAAAATTCAAAATTAATAAAAAAGAAAAGAAAAAGTTGTGTGTCAATGTGAACATTGACCTGTGGTGTGAATTCAGTGAGCAGTAGTAAGAGAGAGTCTCGCGTCTAAGTGCCCCCTCCTTACCTGAGGGGAGGCGTTGGTGCTGCGCTGTGGCGACTGGCTGACCGGGGGGTCCAGGTACTCAACCCCGTTTTTGACGCGGGGCCGCCGGTTCACTTCTACGTAGGTGACGGGGAAGATGCCTTGGCGGTTGGTGCCGGAGATTTTGCCCTCGTACCAGTTTTCATCGACTCTCCGAATAAGCGTGATCCTCTCCCCCTGCAGACACAAAGCCTCCGTCACAGCTTTTAGGGGCGGATGAAGCGTCAGTAACAAAAGGACAGAATGTGTAAAGTTATTTCAAAGCCCTCCTCCTCAAGTTTGTCCCGCTCCGCACCTTTCTGAAGGACATCTCCACCACCGTGTCGCCGTTGAAGTTGAAGCGGGCGACGGCCTCTCCGTATTCCAGTACCTGCACCGGGGCACTTTTCTTTGGCTGCGCCTTCTCTGTGGTGGGAAGGAGCTGGAAAAAAGCAAACACATCGGAATGAATAGGAAAATACAAGTTGAATCACACTGGGCAGAAGAATGTTCAAGCAAAACACCTTCATGGAATATAGAATGGAATGTTTCTGGAAGGAGAACTGACGTACCTCGACGTAACTTTGAGGGAAAATGCCAACTCTTCCATGATGTTCCCCTTCATACCAGTTCTGATCCACCTGTCGAATTATGTAGACAATGTCTCCCTTCTGAAACGGCAGCTCCCTAGAAAGACCCCGAAGGGATTAGTTAGTTGCATCAAGAGGTAAAAAACAGGTTGACCCGTGTTCAAAATCACTACTTCTACTTCAACTAAACTACTAAACTAAACTACTTCAATGTGATTCTACTTGTCCAAACGATAATATTCTGTAATATCCTTGTTGTACCCCACCAATGAGACAAAACAAATGCTGACAAACGCCTCATGTGTAAATCTTCAAAAGGTGGACTCAATTTAACAGCATAATGAAACCATCCTTGTAATAGACAAATAGATAACTCACTTCAGAGTTTCGGCTCTGAAGTCAAAGCGAGCCATGGCTGGAGTTCTCTGTGTCAAAAAGAAAAAGAAGAAAACGCATTTTATTATTTTTCTTCACTCAATGTCATCCTTAACATTTTGACTTTATCCAAAACAAGAAATACCCATGTACTTTGGTACTATTCTCTCTGGGCTTCCATGCAACGTGTCGCCAGCTGTAAACCTGTTTCCCATCTGACTTCCTGCTTACAGAAGGATAAGACGCAGCGCTGCATTGTACCTCCACGCCTGATTTCCTCTTCTCTGTGTTATCTGTGATGTTGAGCAGGTCTCCGAAGCGCTCGTTGGTGATGAACTGGTGGCGGGTCGGGACGATGCCCGTGTGTCGCCGGGACGCCGTGTCGGCCTCTTCCTGTTCCCGCTTCAGCCGCCGCTGCTCCTCCAACATTTTCTGCCAGGAAACCAGACATGATAAGTCTCTCCTCCACGCTTCCATTCACATGACACAGAGGTTCTCTTCTCGTTCATAATCCGGCTCTCTTTATTTGTTTTAAGTTTGTCTTAAATCTGAAAGGAAGATCACCTCTTTGTCCCCATGACGCCTTCGCAACACCTCATCCGGGCTCTCCCCCAGAACTGGAGACGGGTCTGAAACAGAAACGGCACGGAGATTATGCCGTGAAGCCTTTTCACCGTCGACCTCCAGGCACATCCAACTGAAAGAACAACACTTTTCAAATAGAAGATGATGATATTGCAGTCAACTCCTCAATTCCAAAGAATAGAATCATAGAAAAATACAATAAATACAACCATGCACGCTTTAAAGGTACACTGTAAGATCTGTAACACACACACACACACACACACACGTCCAGAAAGCCAAATGTATTCCTGCATGCTCATAGGAATGAATGGAATGATCCGATGTGTGGTCATGAAAAAAATACATTTAAACAAATGCAGAAAAGAAAATATGGAACCTACTGTATATTGGCCAAAAGAATAAACATGAATCATAGTTTTACTGATTGACCAATCAGCATCTAGTGTGCTCCTGAAGTTTCCTTCTATTATATCAGCGAAAGGTTTTCGTGATTTAATTTGTTCCCCAGGATAGATGTTTCCCTCGGTTATGTGAAATAATTCAAAGCAGGGGACTAAAACAAACCTTTCATGGTGAGACAATGAAAGACGGCAGTAAATTACTCCCAAAACCCCAAAACATATACAGACATGGTGAGACATCAGTCTGAGAGACCGTATGCAATGTCGTATCCAAACATCCTGCTTCACCACAACGGGGGGATGCTGGGATTGTAGTTTTAGGTAAAGCTTTCGGGGTTTTTTTATGTCTCATTGAGGATCATGCAAAAAGACTAAAACCAAAAGTGCCCCCTGCTACCAAAGCCATGTAATCAAACACAGGATTCAGTCGATACAGATGTAATGCTTACGCACTCTTGCATACTCCTCAAATCTGATGTCACCAGGAGATTTATATATATATACGTTACCAAAAGCTGCCTGAACCTCCTACAGTCACCGCAGTGTTCTGACGTGTTTGGTACTGATGCACAGTGAAATGTGAGAGCACCACACAGCACACTGACACAATGAGATGGAGGCTTCCCTGTCACTTTGTAAACACACCACACAGACTACAGATGGAGGGGTGGCGGAGGCGTCGCTTTGTGGGGGAAACAGGAACACAAGGTGAAGAGAGAGTCGAGATAAATGAGTGACCACAGAGGGGAGGGGGGGGGGGGTGGGGCGAGGGGGGGTGACAGTGGTGAAGGTATTGAGATAGCCACCTCTGCGGTGAGCTGCCAGCAGCTGCAGTAGGTTCCCGTTGGCGTCCAGGCCCTGCCCGTTACTCAGGTGGTCAGTGTGGCTTTCCTCGCCGTTGCTCAGCCTCTCCAGGACCTCCAGAGAGGACAGGCGCTGCGGGATCAGAGGTCTGGGCTCGGGAGACAAAGTGCCGGGCCTCTGGACGCCCGCCATCGCCTTAGTGGCCTGCAGGCTCCTCCGGCTCTGGTGGGACTGCTGGTTTTTCCGCAACCTGAAGGGAGCCGGGCCCATTAGAAAGAGGTTCCCGGGGAGCGTGGTCTTCTTCTCCAGAGGCGCCGGCCTCTCCTGTTGAGTCGAGGCCTGCTGCCTCTCGTGCCTCAGGATGGTGGTGAAGCGGGTGTAAGACGCCGGGCAGGAGCCTTTGCATTTGCCTGGTTTGAGGAGTTGGTGGTTCAGGTGGTGCAGGAGGTGGTGGTGGTGGACATGGTTGTGTTGCGGAGGCGATGCTGGAAGCAGGCCAGAGGGACTGTTTGGTCCACCCACATTTTGGTGGTTCTGTCCTGTGGAACTCTCGCTGAAGATCAGCTCCACCTCTGCCTCGGTGTTAGAGGAGGAGTCAGTCAGGACATCGTGTCCGTCCTCTGAGGGGGGCGTGGCCTCCTCCGCGGCCGGTGACGGGGCCTCCTCCCCACAGCTCCTGCCCTCGGCCCCCGCCGGGAACCGGGCATCCCTCCGCGAGGCGTCGGTGACGGCGAGTGACTCCACTGACACGGCGGCCGCCATGCGGAGGTGGGCGGGGCTGTGGCTGCAGTGCAGGGTGGGCAGGGAGGAGCAGCGGCTGGGCGCCGGGCTGGTCCGCTGGATGATCATTTCAAACTCGCTGACCCGCGACAACACGGCATCTCGTGGAATGTCGCCCCCGTTGTCCACCTCTGACCTTTCGCCCCCGTCGGCCTGTGACCTCTCAAAGAGGGAGGCCAGGCTGCGGACGCTGCCGTTGGGGCTGCAGCCGGCCGAGCTGGGCCGCTGGATTTGATGCATGGTCCTGTACAGGCTGGAGAACTCCGATGGGCTCCTTCTGATCACGGGGGAGACGTTCCTGAGGCCGTCCGCACACTCGGATCTACAGTCCGAATGTCGGCCAGTCTCCCTTTCCTCGGCTCCGGCAAAGTCCGGGTCACATGGCCCCGTGTACAGATCCTCACAGCTGTGGGCCTTGGGGTGCCTGGCAGCTTTGGTCCTGCTCTCCTGACTGTCACCACTGGGCGGCAGCAGCATGGGTTTGAACTTAGAGGGCAGGATTTGGGGTATTCGGGCTTTGGCAGCAGAAAGAGGCTTCATATTCTTACACTGGTTACCTATTGCATTACTGGCAAGAACCGATCGACTATTTACAGAGGAGCAGGGTGAAATTATATAGCCATTCCCACCTTTATAATCCACTGGCAAGCATGCAGGACAACAGAATAAACAACATATTAGATTACAACAGTCACAGGTTCACACACACTAAAACAGAGTCAGGCACATTTCTAAAGTAAAGACCAAGTTTCATTAGAAGTGGATGAGAAGAGGAAGCAGACTGGATGCATTGTGCATCAAGTAATATATGACTTTGCACTAACAGCGTGAAGAATAATGCTTTGCAAGAATGGAACAAGCGGATATTCACTGTCTGAAAGATTCTTACATTAGCAATATTATTGTTAACAGAAAAAGAACAAGTGGAACATAGAGTATTAAGACAGCAATATGAGATGTTATGTGATGTTAGAGGTCATATAGGAATTATTAACACTGACTGCAGTACCAGTACATGAAAAAAGAAAAGAAAAATAATACAATTCACATGACCTGTTCCGCATTAACCTCCTACCCTTTTCTCTTGGGCTTTCAGCGATCAGACAGGCGGCTACAATGATCAATGCCCAATGGCACCCCTGTTAATACACCTTCCTACACGGTTGTAAATAATAATAATAATAAATCCTGAGTCAACATGGCTGGTAAAAATATGACTGTCAGAGAGCTCAGGTTCCCGGCTATAGCGTGCGGGCGATAACGCCACAGATGGAGCCTGGAAGTGACACAACACATAGACATGCTGCGAGACACGAGCACGCGTGAGCCATCTGTCACATTCATATCTCCCAGAAAAACACACAGAGGAAGCTAACCAGATACTGTATATTCTAACCCTTGAGGACGCTCAGTTCTTTCCCGAGCACAAGACAGACACATGACAAAGTGTTTCTGGCACTTAATGCCTCATCTCTTTGCGAACGAAAGAGCGTGCTAGTAGGTTGAATAGACTGCCGAATGCATTTGCGACAAGGGAACAACTTGTTGGATGTGTTTTAGTTCCGCGCGTCACTCTATTAGTCCTAATGTGGAAGTATAATATAATACAGGATTATATTATTAGACTGTCCTGCCCTTTCTCTTCCTTACGTCTCTTCAGCGGCCCCCCCTTTGACCCCGCCCCCTCCCGGCCATATGCGCAGGCATTCCAGCCTCGGACCTCACGCTGACAGCTGACTTCCTCATGCGCCCCCTCTGTGTCCCTCCTGTTTATCCCCCCTGTCTGTTTACCTCGCTCTTCATCCATTCCCTCTCCTAAGCCTGCCTAGAGACTGGCGGCCCACAACTGGAGCGGGAGGTGGCGGGGGCAGGAGGGGAGGGGGGAGGGGGGTTAAACTCTCCAAGGTTAGCTCTGACTTAGCAGCCTCACTCCCTCTGTGAGTTTTCCAAAGCAGATGGCCAGCACACGTTTGATGAAAACATCCTCGGCATCAATAATAAATCAAAAGCTGGCGGGGGAATGAGTGCTGCGAGGTGATTGGCCGATGCTGAGAGGTCTGGCAAAATAAAACGGTTTGGATTCCAGCAGAACGGCAACTGGAAACACATGTATCCCCGTCTGATACTTTGAGCGGCGTAACATCACGTCAACTCATCGGTTCTGTCTCAGCAGGAAAGGCCTTACATGGCCCGTGCTGTCTAGCAACACATCCATAAACACACACACACACACACACCTGCCGTTTTACTGGCAGCACATGCAACGCGGTGGCTATCCTACCTTTGGATGAGGAGGAGCCGCCTTGGCGCTTGTTTAGGGCCCGTAGACCTTGTAAGGGAATGTCGCCGCCCTCCAGGACGCTCTTGTAAACATGGCGGTCGCACTCTGGAGCCCCAGGCTCACCCGTGGACGATCCCCCGTCCTTCTCCACCTCGCTGTGTCCAGACTTGCTCGAGGAGCTAGACGGGTCGAGAAGAGGAACGCAGACAGCTAATCAAACACAGCCGTATTCATCTGGGGGAGTTGAATTGCATTTGTTTTCTATGATAACCAGAGGCGCACAAATTGGGTAATGAGCTGTCATATGGTTCTCATTCAGTGTATCTCGAGGTGATTCCTGTCTTCCCAGACAGAGACAGGAAAAAACTGTCTATTCAAGACATTTGGAGGCCAACATTGAGAGGAGGCTCTACTGCACATATCTTCATTCCAGAGAGGCCGACAGGACACTTTTCTATAAATATTCTCCTGAATTTCCACATGGCACATCAGGCGCGGCCACGCACCTGTACCTCTGTCAGGTTTACTCTACTTCACACGGTGGTCACGCTGTGGCTCCATTTGTGCAGACAGACGTGTTCATCAAACCGAGAGAGACACCAGCGTCGTGAAATAAAAACCCGTTTTAGTGTGAAAAGAGGAATTATTATTCTACCAAACGGCCACGTCAGACTTTTACAGACTTATGCGACTTATGCCAACATCAGTCTCCCTGTTCCCTAAGCCAACACAAAAAGCTCTTTCATAGCGGTGCGCCCTGCTGACTCCGGAGCGCCATTAAAAATCATGTTGGTTCTGGGTTACTTACAAGAATTCCCATAAATGACTACACAGGAAACCTGCAGGACAGGAGCCGTGTGTGATTGAAGCCGGCCTCTTTGGACGGTTCGGGTCAAATTAACAGTCAGTAATCAGTCAATGAAGGACCTTCTGCACGTTACTGTATTGGTGACCTATTTCTCTGGAACGATCAGGGGCTCATTTAAATGCCAAATACCGAGAATGGAATTTGGGATCTAAATCAATCTTCCAACTGGTTCGAGTCTTAAGACCTTTAATGCATGCAAACAAAGTGTGTGTGTCTAACCGAGTCCTGAAAACACACAGATATACTAAGCAAAGTATTCATTCATTTAATGCCGCCACACTGGCACATATGGCTTTGCATTTTAGAGACAGATGATTTACAAGACTCTTCTTCAAAATGCCTCTAATTTTAAACAGACCTCAGGGAAGAAAAATAAATAACATCCTGTCTTAAACATGTGTGCCTGTGAAGGAAGTCACTTTATGACTTCCTTTGAAAGAAGCTCGGGTGATTGAACTTCCAGCACCTCTTCTCCGGGAGCCCCTTCCTTTCAGTGTTAACAACAAACCCCCCGGATTAAAAACTGGATTGGGAATCTGTTTTAACATACTGGGCCACAGCGACATAATGATCGCAGCAGATGGAGAGCTCTCAGCCGAAATGGAGGGAGGAAATGTATTCTCCCCCGGACTGTAGCGCAGGACAGTCACCAGGGCTCGCTCCTGAATTCCTTACATTTTATGACGCAAACAAAAATAGAAGACGTCAATCTCATTGGACGAAAAGTAAAAAGATCAAGGGCTCGGCGGGCTTTGTTTTAGGAACAGCCAGCATCCTCTTTCAGGCTGCAGTTGCCGCTCATAGTTCTGTGCACACGCCCATTGGAGAGAAGATAACGGTTTTTAAGTTATGCAGCAGCTGGGTGAGCCTCTTCCCCCCCAGTGACATCCAGGTTTCTGTCTTTAAATAAATCCCCACATAGCAGCCGTGTCTCACAACCCTCCCAACAAAACCCACATTATACGGACAGAGGACACACTGTTCTAGCGGCGTTATGCCTTATTAACGGGATCTACCTCAGGAAGCAGGAGTTCCCCCTATTGAGGGTGGGCCAGCTCTGCATCTCTCACTGACGTTTATCCCCCATAACATGCCTTAAACAATCACCAACGTGCTGCAGGAAGGAAGCAGGATTGAAAGTTCAAGTATCGGAATAGTAAAGAGAGGTGGACTTACTACTGCTGCAGGTCGGAGGCTGTTTCCAGGGGGCTGAAAGAGGGGGCACTCTGCAACAAACCAAACAAAGAAGTCATTGATAGATCCACAGGAAGGTCTCCTCCAGCTAGAACAGAGGCAGGAGCATTAACTATGGTCAGATTCTCTCTGCTCTTCCTCGCTGCCGCTCTCTCGCTGCTCTGGCTTTTTGTCTCAAGCAGCCGGGGTTCTTAGCGTCTCCGGACTGGGCTTGGCACGGAGGAGTAAGCGTGTGTTTTGGCCAGCATGCAAGTTGGAGAAAACAAGCGTCAGTGGGAAGAGTGGAGGGGAGGGGGGGGGAACGGTGGGCGTGCATCGGTCAGGGGGCACCCGCGCGGGGAGGGGGGCTGTCACAGGCGCAGCCAATGGGCTGCTGTCTCCCAGCGAAGCCGTTTCTTTTGTCTGGTATTGAGTCACTCTCATTACCACTGGACCAGACCGGGGGACAATTAACCAGCTGGTGGTGGAAGCGGGCCGAATTACACACAATCACACGCACGCACACACACACACACTCACACACACTTAAAGAGCCAAAAGGAGACACAAAGGCGTAGTGAATAAAGTCCAACATATTCATTGTAGAAACAGATCATTAAGACACATTTATGAAGACAAAGAGCACAAAACAACAATGTCCAAAACACAGGCCTGCTCATTCAGTGCGATAGCAGCCAGCGGCATTTTGAATGGTTTAGAGCCAACTAATTTTAGCCCACTGTTTCTGTTGCTTCCTTCTTTTCAGACGTCACAGCAGGTAAAAATAACGGACGTGACCCGGGGCACTATGAATAAGAACGCCAGTACGATTGCACAATCGCCACCCCAGCCAGCCCGGCCCTGCTCCTAATACCAGATCCACTTCCCCACGGCGCGGCCAAGTGTCCCCTTCCACACGCCGATGGCCCGACAAGGAGCAGTCGCCACTGCGACATTTGCCACAACATGCCTTCCCACTCAGTTGCCGGGGCAGGATGATCATTTATAACCTTTCAGAATAAACGCCTGTCTTTGTAAGAACAGAACATCAGGCTGGCAGGTCTGTAGTCTGAGCTATTTATAAAGCCAAATGTTCCATGTCCACCCGGGGGAACACGTCAGTGTCATTGAATAATCTACAGCTCTCCCTCGCTCCGCCACACCATATACCGCCCCTCACACCCCCCCTCCCCCAAGCTGATATCAGGGAAATAGTGTCCTCTTGCTCCCCTGGGTAATTGGGTTATTACACACACACCATCAGTGGAAAGTAAACAGGAAACAACCGTGAAAAGCTTATCTGGAGTAAAGGAATGGCATCTTAATCTGGTTATTTACAAGATGCCTGACTAGTGTCAGTTTATATTAACCTTTATTCATATAAAAGGTTCCGCTTGAAACTAATCCTACACTGATATCACCTAACATCTTATTACCGAGAAGGGCCATTTTTTATCCAGATGATGAAATAGAGGGGGGCAAATGGGAGGCAGAGGATGAGAGGTAAAAACCCGCCCTACTTATCAGAAGAAGACGCACACAGACGAGCAAACTACTCACTGAAGCGGGAACTGAACGCGTCCCACGCTGAACATGGACATGAATGACAGCCTCGGTGAGTCACTGCAGCACCCATGACTACCTTTCTGCAGAATTCTTGAGTGCGTGTTTCCAAACAGGTGTCCCCGGCCACGCCGAGCCACTTTCATATTCAAAATAGCGATCCTGAGTAGGTCATGGTAACATGAATCCCATTCTTTCCAGCACCTTATTTGTGTAGATGTGTACTCATGAAAACAAACAGCTCCCCCAGTTTGAAGGGCCTGTTATAGCCGCCAGCGCCCACCCGTCTCATCCTCGCTAAATGCTTAAAGGTAAAGGCCAAGTGTGTAACAGAGGTTAAATATAAAAGCACAATGAGCTGGCGGGCTTACAGAGTCGCCTCCTTTAGAATATGTCAGGTGGCGGTGGAGAGGGGAGGGGGTTGCTTTGTAACTCATTGCTGAGACAGTGTGGCAGCGGCCCCCTTCGCCAGCACATGCTCCACAGTGGGAGTCACTCTGCCGGTCGTAGGGGGACAGGGGGGGGGGCAGAAGGCTCTTTCCCAACCATAAGATAAGCTAAGTGTGGACCTCTATAGCTCCATCGATGAGCCTGTGTGTGACCTTAGCTGTCCCTGAGGGGAGGTTATCCTGGTAATCTTAACCACTATCGCTGTGATTATATCTTACACATTGGCTATTAAGTGACGAGGGGTGGTGGACGAGCACTAACAATTGGACAGGAAGAGGAAATAGTGCCGTCCCGTGGGATCATCAAATGTGTCACTTACACTAAGCCCGTCTCTTTAGCTGACAACTGGCCAATTAGCGCTGTGAAACCACAGTCGGTGTTCAAGATGTCGATCAGAGGAATACTGTTAAGCAATACTACGTAGTAACTGGGAGTCTCTTTGAAGGTTATCAATAAGAATAAGAGCCAACTGGGCATTAGCTCTTCATCTGACCCGGCGAGCGCTGTGGCTTTTGTAGCCGTATCTGAGTGAGTGCTGATATGTCAATCAAACTCCAATGAGCCAGAGTGTCTGGCTGGGCCTTAAGGTCAAATACTACGCATACCAGGAGCCGCTTTAGAAGTGACTTTGACATTAAACAGGAGCCAGTCGTTGAGCCGAGATCATCTGGCAAACGTCCAGGCTGCCATGAGACCGAGTCGGCCGCCTCCACCGCTAAACCTCCTCCGCATATTCTCTAAGCAGGAGCAGGAGACCCTGCGTCTGGCTGATGCAAGGACATGACCTCACGAGGATACTAGCGGTGCCACCTCAGTTGATCCGGGGTGTGGCGGTGCGCCTCTGACAGAGAGCAAACATCTGTTTGTGGGCAGACTGTGCCCGAGGCATCGGACTTGCCGTGATGCTTTAGCATGCCTGAGCCAGTTTGGGCATTTTCAGAACCGCAGTCTCTCAGAGTGAAGAGGAACTCCGGGATAATTTATCCAAGCAAGGTGGACATTAAATTACAGGAAAAAGAAAAGTATAAACGTTCCTCTTGGGAAATGATTTAACATCACGGATACTTGGCAAGAAAGTACAAGTGATCCAACTGCAAACTAACCGGTGATGGTTTAATTGGAACTTCATCATGGACAGCTGCTCAAAACCTAGAAATATGAAATATGGCGAGAAAGCCACAGCTAATGGTCGGACAATGTGTGCTCACTCAGCATCACAGATAGAAATAAATAGCTGAGTCACCTTTAAAGAGGGCAAAAAATAGATGGAGGACAAGACCCCTTTAAATTGTATGAGGTGATGACAAGGGATGACAGTAGCTATGTCAAACACTTTGACGGGATTGCTGACATACAATAAACCCCGTCATTCATACGAAATCAGAAGCGGAAAGTGGAGTAGTCCTCAGAGACAGACACAGTTTGTTTAGGTATTATTTAAACATGGATGTTATCACATGCAATAAAATGCTGTCACTTTAAAGACAGCGACCACTTACCGCTTTGTCAAACTCCATCTCTGAAAAGAATCTATACCATGGCTCATTCTCTATACCTACATCTTCTGGATTTACATCCTGAGTCTAGGGGCATGGCAACAAGAGGAGGAGAAAGACAAAGAGAAGACAGTTCAGACAGCACAGAATACACACACCAAGGTAACTATGGGTGACGGATATATTATCAGCACCACTAAAGGAGTGAATTAAAGGTTATAGGTTCACATTTATATGAAGCGTTCCTACTTTACTCAAGGAGATTTAAACCAATGTTATGGTTTAATGGTACCAATAAATATGCCAATTGGCTTAGCTTAGTTAAGCCCCGACCGGAAACCGTTTGCAGCTGCAACAGTAGGACAATTACTGAGCTCTGGAGAGCCGGTCACCAGGCTTGCTGCTCCCGCCAGTCTTTATGCTAAGCTAAGCTAAGTAGCTGCTGGCACTATCTAATGTATTTTAGTGAGATAATATGAGCGTGCTATAAGTCTTCACATGTATTAATAAAAATGTTTCTTTAATTCTTGTACACTATACACACAAAGAGGGGATGTTGTTCTGAAAAAGGCTTTCATTTACTTTCTTAGTTATTTAATTTGACTGATTTGCTGATGCCTCAGCAATTTGGCATCTCTTACATTGCATTTGACTTGGCAATTTGGGTCATAAGGGTTTCAGTTTCAATGAACATATGGCCAAAGGTAATTCATTCAAATATACACAAACCAAGTATTTGACCCAAAACTGCTGTGATTAAGATTGCGTATCAATTATTTTCATTTTATTCTATCGAATCAGCCTAACGCGATGACGACAAACTAAACATGCCATTTTCGAAGATGATGCATAACAATCTTTAAATATGTATTTGATTTAAGGGGATAAAGTACATCTTTAAGCACCAGTGAGTGAAAACAATAGACCCGGCTCAGAAAGTGACCAGCTACTGACCCACAACAACAGAGAGAAAGAAGAGAGTCCATTATTTCAGTGTTCCCCGGACGAACGGGGGCGAACTCCCTCTAATGAGTCTGTTTGTTGCCACTGGGATCGGCCCATACTTGAATAGCGACATCTACTAACTTGATGTGACCGAGGCATCAGACAGTACACAGTAATTACGTAATCATCTACTATCTATTAATTCTGATCGCCTCCTTGTTTTAATTATTAATGATTTGAAAAACCTGGGCCTCCTTTGGTATATCTATTATACTGTAGGTCTAGTGAGCAGCGGGCCAATTATCGTCAATAGAAAGCCCTCAAGGACACCGCCGAATGCCGCTGTGTTTGAGCACAAACTGCCACGGCTGGAGCGACGAAAGTGGTGAGGAGAGCGTTACACTTCCCCGCAAGAAAAAACACACGGGATGCGTGTTCAGTGTCCTCTCACTCTGGACTGATTCGACCCAATAACCTTAAATTGACTGGGAGACAATGGCTCTCCTTGTATGCGATACTCCCCCGCTGCCCAGCGCGATCATCTGTCACCGCAACAGGACACCCTGGAGGAATGCGGTGCACAAGACGATTCAGGATACACAGGTCGCCGTCCGAGCTGTTAGCGAGGCCGCCACGCACCCAAGAGCTCAAATACAGAGGTGGTGGGTGGGGGTGTGTGTGGTGGGTGTAGAGCGGGGGACAGCTTACACAGACATGCACACAGAAAGACGGAGAGAGAGAGAGGGGGTGGGGGGGGTGCAGGCAGGCAGGCGGCTAGCATACCGTTCTCTCCAGCTTCAGCACCGACGATTTTCCCGGCTCGTACTCAAAGATGCTCTTGGGCTCGGCGCGGTACTTCCTGGTGTCCACCTTTTTATCCGGGGGCTCCCACTCGTTCCTGTGGGGAGACGTGTGTCAGGGAGGGGCGGGGTGTGGGATCGAAGAGAGCCAATCCTTATCAAGTAGTCTCCATGGCAACCAGCATTGGATAAGATGTTTTTTGGTTTTGTTCGACGTCTGCCCTCATTACCCCTGCGCTCTCTCCCTCCCTTTCCCTCTCTCTCTCTCTTTCCTCCCCTCCCTCTATCCCTCTAATGATGATATGACAGAAAATCCAATTCACGGTTCAGCCAAATCGGTAACTCGATAAGGCTAACAAGATTGAGAACTCAGTGACAAAACACAGAGCGCATCGTTTCCTGTGAGAATCTCCTACTGTAATCTTACTGTACTCATATAAAAAAACAAATTACCTCTTAAATTAGAAATACACAACCCTACAGCCATTTTCTCTCCACAAATGAATTCTGAGCGTCATCCATTAGCACTTAGCAACAAGACATGTTTTGCCGCCGTCTCCTTTCATAACATAATCCCAGAGGAAAGAGGAAAGTCAGTCCTCAACATGTCATCTGCAGCTCTTGTGGGCGACGGTTTATCCTCCATCACCTGTCCTCCTTCATCACTCTATTGCTCATTTCTTTAGGGGGCGGATCCTCTCCACGTCGGTGCTGACATGTGTGTGTGTGTGTGTGTGTGTGTTTGCGTAGCCTATGAGGCTAATTACACCTCCAGTAACAACTGGAGGACATCGCTTTGGAATCCTCTGTGGACAAAATAACGTCATACTTGCAAAGTCAGAACGGAGATATTGCTCTGCTGTGCACAGCTGTGTTACAAGCTGCGTAAATAAAGACGACAAAGAAGAAACCCTTCGTCACAAGAGACATCTTTTCTTTTCTGCAAGCGACTGTGAGAACATAACTATTTTGAGCCACCATTGCGGCCATGTTATAGAAGCAGACGGAAATAGCACTCATTTCATTCTTCTTTTCCCGTATTCTGAGTTGTCGACTAGCGCTGTGCTTTTGTACTCCAACTCCATACGGAAGGCGGGAGCAGATGGAGGACGCTGACCTTTTGGCGGAGGGTCTGAGGGACGAGGAGCGCGTTGGCACGGGCATCGACCGGCCTCTCGAACCGACCTCGGCGTCGCTTTTGGAGCGCGGGACGGCTCTCACTGAAATAAGGCAACAACAACAACAACAACAGCATCACAGAAATTGAACCAATGTTTAAATGTACGCCGCATGCTCTCCATGAATACTCGTAAAGCCGTTGCACACCGATGAAAGCTGAAAGCCCAAACTCACCATCTTCCAAGTAACCTAAGGGAGTGGGACAGTCATCTGGGAGATGAGCAGACAACAAGCAAAAAACATTGATTACAACTCTTGTTTATATGTGCTCTGCTGCTTGAAAAGTAATGAATATAGCCCGAAACTGAATTATTCATTAAAAGTACCATTACACCTTGCATTAGGGCGAGCATTACAGGTTCACCAGACACCATCAAAGGGTGTCAAATCAAAGCACTTAACGGGAAACATTACTGAGCTAAAAAGGGGATGCAGGCATCAATGGGCATCGAGCCTCTGAATAAATAATGCACGGTAAAGCAAAAAAATAAAAGTTGTGACTGCCACAATCCGAATCATCTCTGCATAAGGGATATACTTTATGTAACCTTTACAGAATCATATCAGTCACTCTAAAGAGGAGACCACGTCGAGCTGAGACTGAGAGCAAGTGAAGAGGAAATCTTATTACGCTCTTTCTCATACAAATCTTGTTCTTGTTTATCGGATTAAAACCAGGAGCGTGAGTGGAACCTGAACCATCTACTGAACATGGATTAGTGAAGCCTGTTAAGAGCGGCACGCAGTCTGAAGGTTTGGTGCTGCCTGGGGGACTCTGCACGGGGCGGCACAGCCCACAGGACTCAGTGAGGTGCTGCAGCAGCATCTAGCGGAAAGACTCGGAAACTACATCACCAGACTCTCCGGATCCAAGATGGGGATGCTTGTGAATCAACATTTGTAAACACAATAGATAACAATCTTAAGATGATTAACAGCAAAGAGAGAAAGGCATTAGTGATTGTTAAAACTTGTCAGGAGAAAGTAGATCGGCACTGTGAGGCTTCGTGCATCATCGTTGTCAACACGTCAGTGTCAACGTATCGTGTTCGATGTGAAAGGCCTCACCCACTTTTTCAACATTAATTAGACGGTGAACAATTTTTATTTCCCATTAGCAGCATTCCAAAACATTAGAGGTTTTGTCCAGCAATTTAGCTTTGCACTTCCAAAAGACTTTTAAAAAAACAATTATTTTAACTGATGCCGTCAAGGTGAAGATTTCCTGACTATTTGTCTCTGCTGGCTAACTCAGCCCGAGAGCCTTTTTCCCAGCACCCATTTGGACTTGACATCGTAGAAAAAGCACAGGCGTCACTAATAATAACAATAACGATGGCTGCATTCTGAGTAAGTCATTACTCTGTGAAAATGAGCTAGCACCCTGCAGCAGGATAATGTAACTCAGCCATAATTTATTTGATTTTGTACACCTGCTCTTTTCCTACATGTCAAAATATCTGTTCTAAAAAGAAAAAGGCCTAATAAAGAAGCCAGATGATCTTAAAATGTGCCATGACAGGCACATTTTGCACAAAACCTGCGGTGCATGATTTTTTTTTTGCACGAAACCTGCAGTGCATCTAAAACGCAGGCAGATAGCGGCTCTACTGTACGAGCACTGAGGTTGGGAAATATCAGCTAAAAGGTGAAACACAGCACAGTATTTGAAGAGGGACTAAAGGTGGCTGCAGATCAGTAAAGCCAACAAGAGCGGAGACACTGCCATCGGATACCTTTGGATCTCATCTGAATGTCAGAGTTGTCGGGGAAAATGTAGGTGGGGCGGTAAGGGTTTTCCTCAATAGGCTCTGAGCACAGTGATGGAGAGACAGAGCACAACGTGACATAACATACAACATACACAACATACAAACACACTTAGAAACACACACACACACAGGGCGTGACAACCAACAGAGGAACACATCAGACGTAGAAGTTTTTCCTCTTACCGGGTATTCTGTGTATCTGTTTGAACATTGTCTTGTACCAGTCTTTGGACTTTTCAGTGTTCTGAAATGTAGATGTGGAGAATTAATTCATAAGCCATTCATAAGCAGGGGCGGGTTTAAGTGTAACATTAAATTCATTTTACATTTGACTGTTTTTCCAGCATAATGACTTTTGTTGGATGCTAGGTTACATCAAAGCACAGTGATTTGCTCTCTCTTGCTACCATTATATATAAATAACATCAAAGACCCATGTATCCTATGAACAAAAGGGCCGTCACACATCCGTCGTGAGGAGATTTGTCTTCGCCGGACAGGTTTGGTCGCTCACCCGCACGGGGACAATGGGCTTGTTGAGAGGACCGAGGACGGGCGAGTGCAGGGACAACCGCAGCCTCTTCCAGTCCATGTCAGTGACCGCAGAGTCTCTGCCAGGATCCGGGCTTTTGTCCCTCTCTGGGGTCGGGTCTGTTACAAAAAAACAAACAATCATTAAAACAAGACTTTAAAACAGACAAAACGCGCAATGGCCTCACACAAACATCTACATAGAGCATTGAATATGATGAGATATACAGATATTGGGGCAGCATACAGTAAGTAAGTACGTCTCTTCTCTATATTCCGTGCCTGTTATCACATCATGATGTTGCATTTCATACCTAAAATTCACCAGGCAGGCGGTCTCATTTTCCGTCACATGCGTTTTGTACCACCAAGTAAAGCAGAATATCAACAGGAAATGAATGTAGCGACACCCGAAATATCCCAAAAATAGTAAATAATTGAACATAGTAAAACGGGGAATATAAATGATATAATATTCGGTTCTTGTTAGTGCTCCATGGCAGTAAAAACCTTCAATGATACAAACTGCTGAGTATGAGGTGACCTCTGCAGCACACAAGCCCTTTGACACTTGGCCTCTGAGAAAGAGATGTGTCAGGTGTCACGTCAGTGGAAGAAAGTGCACAATCTCACATGTCGGCAACAGACATGAAATTAAATGAGCTTTGACGCAGTCTTGAATCAGTAAAAACAGAATGCAGAATAATTTACAGAAAAGTGTTTCTGTATATTGTGGTACCTTCTCCTTTAACTGAACAGTTCCAATGTTTTCATTACACCAAAGAATAAAATATGACTCATTAACTTCACAAGGCGGGTGGCGAGCACATCAAGTGTCGAGGCAGTGGGAGGGTGACGGATGCTTCAGTCCAGGAAAAATAAATATAATACTTCTTAATAAAAACTGGGACTGCTGCCGGCGAAGTCTGAGCAAAGACAAACACATCCCAAATATCACCAAGACCCCGGTGCATTACCTTTGAAATGATTAAGATGCTTTTGCTGCTCTGTTGTGAGAGAAAGACAGACAGAAGGACAGCACAGTGAAACGTGACACAGAGCTCTGCGCGGAGCAGGACGGCGCCGAGGAGCTGCACAGGTTGGCTTTTTACGACTGATGAGATGCCGCGCAGACGTGTGAGAGTGAGATCGCGGTCAAACTGGAATGCTCTGATGAACTCCTCATGGTACCCGTCCTCCCTTCTCACCTCTGTTGTGCTGCAGCAGGACTATTGTGGGGTTAGCCGTGCTGGTGCACGGATAAACAGAGCCGGAGGTCGATGCGATACAGCTGGGAGCGTCGGCGGAGGATGGAGCTTGATTCTCTTTTAGGCTCTCTGGGGAAATGGCCTGGAAGTGACAGAAATGAGAAATGTTAAACAAAGCTTTCCGGGCAAATTTCCCAGAATTCTGTCAATGATCTCCAGAAGCAGCCACACAAAGAGGCTGTGTTAAACAGAGAGAAAGTAGACGTACCTGGCACCGAGGGTTGTTTACAGGAGCTAAATCACTTCTGATGTTGCTGCCTCCCTCCGCCAGTCCTGCTTTAGAGCTGTCTCCATTAATAAGGCCTGTCCAGCCACCTGAAAAGAGTCCAGAGGTCCCTCAGTTTTGGCAGCACTGAAGAACACTGAGCATAACTCTAAAAAGTTGCTTATATCAGTGAAACGCAGCCATAGCAGCCAGGCCCCAATGAAATACATCTCTGTTTCAGTATGCAGGGCGTGGATGCTTTCCTACGAGGTTTTCAGCAATGAGAAAAGAAAAAAGATACTCCCACAATCTCTGAACTTTGTCATCGGAACAAAGCGGCCTTTCATTGAGCTTCAGAGGCTGTTTGTTCCAATGGCCTTTATATTCAGGCTCCACAACAATTAAAGCATCTCCCTCAAAAGCCTTGGCTCCTCTCCGCAGTGCGTACCGAACAAGCCCACGGACAAGGCGCCCGCTCCGAAGGGCAGTGGGCCGGCCCGCAACAATGAAGCTCTTTGACCGCTCGCTTAAAAATATGAGCAATCGGCCTCCACCTCCAAAACATGACACCATATTTAATCACCAAAACAGAACTGTGAAAGGCATGCAAACAATTTCTACGACTAAAGAGGAAGATGAAATACCAAAACATGACCGTTGTTTCCACAAGCCCCCGTCCCTGACCCGTAAACATCCCGTCCTGGTGCAGGGAGGTGTGGTTAAGCAGCTGTGGCGCTCGCTGCAACTTACTTGGCGTTGTGACGACGTTTGGCTCCGAGCTGATGCGGCCCTCGTCATCTATGTGGATGAGAGTGGCCCTCAGGGTCACCACTCCTTTCCCCTTGCACACTCTGCTGGGGTCCAGATCTGAAAAGCGTTCAAACGAAGAGCGTGATCTTCGCAGCTCCTCATCGTTCATCTCACACTCACACGCTTGGTCCTGTCAGAGTGCACTCCTGCTTCAGGGATGCTGGGAAATCCGAGCTATTGCTACCTCGTGCCCCAAATGACTGAAATAGAACTGCAACACCAGAACCAGGCCATCAAATTAATATCCTTGTTAAAAAACTAATTGCAACGATCACGGCGTCAGAGCGGGAAGTAGAGTGTCAGGAGCCCGTACGTCAGGTTAATAAAATGACGCCCTACTTTGTTAACCAGTGAGTGTACAGAGTGTCATTCTACGTCTTGGTGAGACTGAAGTGTCCCACAGCTGTGGACAGTCGGCCGGGCGGAGGGATACGTCACCTGCAGCAGGAATCAGGTCAGGAGAGACTTTCATGGTCTTCAGCGGCGTGATCCTGACAGAGCAGACTGCTCGAGGTCGTGATGGGACTTTAACACACACACACGAAGACAAGGAAACAAAGTAGAGACACACAGAAGTGATGAAAGATGTTGAAACATTCTCTACCAGATTTCATTTATTTTTAAATTATCACTTCATTTCCTTAATATTACAAGATCAAAATTGTATAACTTCTCAGAGAATACAGATGTGTAGGATATACTATGAATCAGTGATCTTGCTGAAACCCAAATAAACTATTCAGAGTCTGAGGGTTTATAAACTCATTAAAAACAATGAATGCATCATGGATGTAAAAATGGGGCCACAGGCATATTTGTAGTGATTTCTTTCCCAAACAAAAGATACAGAAAAGGAGGGAACCAGTAAATGATGCTGACATATGTGTTTACTAAGCAGAGAGATAATATTAAATTGAAATAGGTCAACGGATATTTAAAAACATTAGAGAATGCCTGATGCCTTAATGCGTTAGATTCTATGATATTTTGGGATTTTGAATTACCCCTAACCCTAATCCTTCTAATAAATAAATAGACATGTATTACATTACAGGTCATTCAGCTGATGCTTTTATCCAAAGCGACTTGGCTTGAACCGCCAACCTTGCGGTTCCCAGCGCACCCTCTCTACACCTGCACTACGTCGCTCTTTATGACTTATAATTATTATATTATAATTATTTATGGATAATACAAATTCACCAAAATGTGGGAAATCAAGCGTTTCATTCCTGAAAACCGTCGTAACCCCCTTGATAGTGGTAGAGGTACTCAACCCACAGCATCATGACTGGTTTAGAAAAGGGAGATGACTCACTGGGAGTGGTGCTCGGTCTCACGCTGCCCCCTTGTGGAGAGCTCTGGAAAACAACACAATGTATTCAGGGAAAACTGCACATAAAAAGTGTGACGCATCATAAAACCTCAGCGAAGATGACCTCGGGTCACAGTTTAATCAACACTAATGATTGTACAGTGCAGTTAAAAAAGTAAATGCCTCTTGGTAACTGTGTATTTGTGTATTTTAACACCCATTTGCAAATATTTGTACATATAATATAAATTTTGTAATATTAAATCGATTATTAGAAATTAGATTCTAAATATTTTAAAACATTTCTAATTAAGCCTTGAAGAGTTAATAAGGTTAAAATGGATTTCACAGAAGTTGTTGTGTCAAAGCTCTTTTCTATTTATATGAATGAACATTGACAGGTATAAAATAGAGACTATAGGACTTATGTTTGTATTTTGAGATTGGAACATGATCAAAAATAAAAAAAGGATAGAACAGAAGAATATTCAAAAAACAATAATGAATCAAATGAAATAATATTTCATATGGACACAATTAAAAAGGGGACTTGAAATAGATCTGAATGTGTCAACAGCAACATAACATAAGGTGTGTTGTATTAGGAGAGGAGAAGCAAACTTGGCTGCAGCTCCTGTCGTAGTGGGAGTGGACTCACTGCCACCAGTGGCCCGTATACAGCTAATGAATTGTGTTTGTGTTGTTGCTGTGGTTGGGTTACGCACTGAAACAAGATACAATCGAGCCAGACAGGAAGGCGGCGACCCCTCAGTCACTGTTCAAACTAAGCTGTGACACACAAGACTTCATACTTTATTAGAAGCCAATGACACACTCACAGCTTCACGGTAAATGCACCAATGATAAAGCAATGACCTCTGGTGTTACAAATTGAAAGGTCCGACCAACAGAATGATGTTATTTAATTATCCATCTATGTGATATGACAGCTCTGATCACTGACATTGAAATTTCCCGATTCCTGAATTCAAACCGGTATCTGCTTTCCCCTTTAAGGACTAGAAGGGGGCGGTGGGGGGGGGCAAACATATGTTAAAACCAAGGCCACCAGAGAAGTGGCTGTGAAACACTTGGGCCCCCTATTGTGCTCTACTAGCTTGACTGATTTAAGAGATGTCCCCATTTAGGACGCTGATTGAGTCGAGACACAAACAGACACACACACACACACACACCAAGGCACTCAAACGGTCACGGGAGCATACATGTTCGCACACAGGGGTACACTGGTAGAGTTTTTGTTCGCAGGCTGAGGAGGATGGTGGTGGTAAAAACAGGAATTGCTTCATCTATCAAACATGTGCTCTAAAATCAATTCAGGTGTTTTTTAAGTTGTATCTTTGCGTGTCCCACATGTGATGTGTGCGCTGTGTTTACACACCGCGGTAAACAAGCCGACCTGCAGTGCAGGCAGGGGACTCCTGTTCCAGCTGGAAACCGCCTCAGGCATTTAGGCCTAAATGGACGAGGGACAAAATGAGACCAAACGAGCCCCCCGGGGACACAAGACATCTTCCAGTCTGGAAGACGAGCTGCTCCCTGAGCGTCAGAAATTCGCTGTATCTACCCGCCTTCTGTCCCCGACCCCCTGCGTCCCAGTGGAAACCAGTAGCCAACATTCCTTCAAGCAGCGCTGGTGCTGACGCCCGACCTCCGCTTCCGTCGTGTCCTCAGGCGAACCCCGAGATGGTCAATGGACAGGATGAGGAGTGACGTAGGAGTGTTCAGACCTCTCACACAAGACAGATAGAGGGAAGATGACAGTTTGCAGGGTGTTCAGCTGGCTGTATAAACACACAAGAGCACAGTTCGCCCCGCTGGCCTTTTTAGGAAGTGATGCCTCAGAGCAGAGCCGGGCAAAAGAAACACGCCGTTGGAGAGAAAAGAAGAGACCGGTGCAAGAGCTCAGGGACGGCCGGCGGCGACTGAGCCAAGACAAACAGGCCGATGAGAGTTTACTTTATAAGATAAACCTCGGTGAAAACGGCAAAATCATAAACGTGCCGTCACCCCCTCTAATCTAAGCTTTTAGGTGTCTCTACTTCAGGGGGCTGAATTCAGAGAATGTCTAAGGCACAAACAAAAGGATGGGATGTTAAAGCAGAGGAGGAGACGCTCGACTTTGTAACGTTGAAGCGAGCATTCTCCTCCCGGGGCGCCACGCGGAGCGGACCGGCCGTCTCGGGCAGAACAGGACAAGAATCAAAGAGTTTGTGTTTCCTTAAAGATGAGGAAGAACATTTACCGCCGCAAATGACACAACTTCAGACGTCTTCGGTTCGGCTTTTGGAGACTCCTTATTCCCAGACCCGATAAACCTCGTATGAAGCGCAGGTGTTGCTCATGCTCGACAAGCCAACGAAACCGCCTTTCAGCGCAAACCCGCCGGATCGACCGAAAAGCAGAAATATGCGGTGAGGGCAAGATGACTCATCCCGTTTGCAGCTACAAGACACTCACACACACATTGACAAACACATCTCCACCTGGACGGGCAACGTGTCACTAGAAGTCCACAACATGCGTTACCTAGGAAACGATGAGCGCGGCGTGTCCGTAGTCGGCGGGCATTCGTCCGTGTGGAGCCTCTTGGGGCGTCAGGCTAGAGCTTTGAGGGTCTCGTCTGGGCGGGACGGTCTCCCAGCTTTGACCTTGATCCAGGCTCTGTAGGGGGTCTGTTTGTTTTTGACAACAGGCGTGCTCAGATGGAGCTGTCACCACATGCCACATGGGAATGTGGCACCCACTCAACAACTGTGCAGACCTGCATATAAAATCCTCCCTCCCCGGGGAAAAAAGCCGCAGCGCAGGCAGGCAGACGTCCAACTACATGTTAATTAATGGGGTTTAATTTCTATTGATCACTGCAGAATATAACAAATCCAAAGACCATCAGCTGAAAGGGAGAACAAACGGCAATACACTGAAGTCTGACAATAACTTAATACTAGATCAATTCCCCATTACAAAGAATGTCACTGCTTTAGGTGTGTGTTTTAACAATGGAGCCAGGTGTTGATTAGCTTAGATTAGCGTAGCATGAAGACTAGACCAGTGGAAACAGCAAGCCTGGCTTTCCTAAAACCAGTTCTGTTTCTGTACCAATTAAACAAAAACCGACACAAAGTCAGTGGGTTTGAAAGGTATTGATTGGCATATTTTTTTAAACTTTAGACGGATACAGCTGATGCTAAGCTAAGCTAACTAACTGCTGGTTCCAGCTACATATAGAGTGTACAGTATTTAGAGACGAATACGTTTTATCAGCGCAATAGGGAATTTTTCCCAAAACATAGAATGTCCGTTATTTTAAGACTTAAACCAAAGTTTATATATAATCATCATCATATATCATATATATGGGAGGTAAAGGGATGGTCTAGATACATTTGCATTTACATTTAAATTACAGTAATAAATCAACTAAATCAATCTTAATAAATCTAATTAGATGAGGGAACCCCGTGGATACACCACATGTTTCCCTGACAGAGGATGTGTTTGTTGTTGATTTTGGACTATGAATTGAACAAGTTTAAGTTAATGATTTTCATTCCACCAGAATTATTTCATGTGTTCAATGCCCAGTGTGCCAAAGAAAAAACAATCCCTTTATCGGAATCTGCCCCCCCCCCCCCACTGTGAAATCCAAACAAAGGTGCGGTGGTACCAAGTTGAGCTATGATGTGTTTCGCACAAGAGGTCTCTGTGTCGCAGCCGGAGGCCGCCTTGAAAGAGCTCCTAACACAAAAGAGTTCTCATCACACGCTCATCTTTATGGACTGGGGAGGTGTGGGGAGGGGGGGGCGTTACGTAACGTTTGACTTCTGCTTTGTCAACACATGGCAGAGAGGAGCAAAGCTATCCAGCAGTGTGCGCGGATCCCACCAGACAGCTCCAAACATGGCTCGATGGGGCCGCTCCGCAGCAGCAGCTTATCCCCCTAATTGAGAAGAACCCCCACCCCCCTCCCCTCCCCCATCCCCACCCTTCCAGCTCTCTTCCATAAACAGCTTCCATGCTGGACGGGCGGCCTGGGATTCTACACATTCCTCCACTGAGCTATTTGAAGTTCATTTCAAACAACTGAAGCATAAAAGGAAATGTATGCAACTTAAACACTGCAGTCATTAGAGGCCTCAAGGCCGGATTACGCACTTGTGTCGATAATGGAGCGAGCTTACGCCGGGTCTATATGAACACCGCTTGCATGACTCTGCTCTTTGAAACTCACCTAATGAAGTATCACAGCCTTAGCAGGTTTCTGGAATCAGCGTTTGTGGCCTTTTGGAAAATAAAATGTCCTTAAACAGAAGCATCCATCACACCAGCCAGAGAAAGACGTGTCCCTCGGGCGGCTGGGTGAGGGATCCTGAGACGTTCATCGGCTGTGACCATGGCCAGGGAACACGGCGAGCACGAGCAAGTGGTCCTGTGAGATGCTTACGCAGGAGAGACAGTCCTGCTCGTGGCGTTCCTGCTAGGCTTTTAGAGCCAGTGTAACAAGAATGTCAGCAGGCTGACAGTTTGGCCCGGGTGATCCGTCTCCACAGCGAGGGCCCCGGGCCGCCCTCCAACACTGAGACAAACAAGATAAACAGTCACCGGAATATACAAGTAGTCCTGCGGTGTGTCTTCGGGGGATGGTGGGAGGGGGGTTGATGGTTTTCGAGAGTTTAGTTTGGTCTTATTAGCAAATAAGGAGATAGTCATTAGCGGATACAGATGGTGACGTATAATTGGGAAATAAATCCACAACAATTAGCCGCTGCCATTTAAGTTTGGAAATACGAATCCAGAGACACACATGATGCTCCTTTGATGTCGTGTATGGAGATAACTAGCTCAGCTGCGCCCGACAGATTCCCCCCGGCTTAGACGGTGGGGCGCGGCGCCCACATTAGGTGGGCCGCGATGACATTTCAAATCATTGTCCGGGAGAGCGCTGAGAGCGTTTCCTCGTCTCTGCTGGATGTTGTGACCCTAAATATAACTCTCCCAGCGCCTACGTGACAGCACTACTTGATAATTGAGTCATAGGATATGGCGGCTGAACGTGAATATAAACAGCGATGTGATAATCCAGCGATTTTGAGTGCTGTGGAGGTATCCTCGTGTGAAGGGGACTCGGCCAGGGCCCCGGCGGGTTCCCATCATGCGTCTATTTGAGGAACGCCGACCCAGTCCGACTCGGTTGGGTCGGCGGCGGCGCGGCCTGACGCGGAGCCGGGCGGCACGCACGCGTATTAACAGTTCCATTATTGTTCGTGAGTGATTCATCAACCTGCCGCTGCATCACTGGCGCTTTTTAATCGTGGTTTGGTTTGTCCGATGACGGGGCGAGGACAACATGCCGCTTCTAGTCCAAATATAGCCCCAGCAACGGGCGCGATGCTTTTGGTGTTTTCCTCCGAGGACCCCATGGGGGTGTAAGGGAGAGGGGCGGGGGGGGGGGCTTAAATTCAACACTCAAGAATATAGATGTCTTTTCACTCCCTTGTTAAAATGTGTCTATGATCGGAGGGTTTGGGTTGAAGGAGAGGGGGGGGGGGGTTCTAACCGAAGCATAACACTCCACCATCCACTTCAGCCAATGGCAGCAGATTGAGGAACCAGACGATTGCTTGGGGGTGGGGGTTGCTAAGCAACCTGTTGTAACATCAAGAAGAGTGAAAACAGAAACCTGTTCAAAGCGGATGTTCAAAGCAATCCGTTATTCACAGTAAAGACGGGGCTGTTTCCTCACAACAAAGGTTCTAGTCCATTTCATGCTGATCTCTGATGACATGCATGACTTTAAGAAAAATACAGAGCCAAGGAGGAGAAAAGTATTAAATCCCTTCTGCTAATGCCCCATTTCGTAACGTGTACTCTCATTCTGGACACATGGGTGCAGTGGGCTTTCACTACAAAGACAACAGCTTCCTCATACGTGTCAGAGTATCAGGTGAGAGACACTCATTTGGAAAAGCAAGCAACGTTTCTTGGTTTCACTTTCAACTTGAATAAACGTCTCTTCTCATTGCTCATCTTTTCTAATATTTAGTGTCAAAGATTTCCAAATCGGAGATCACATCTGGTCATTGTGGAGGCCAGCCTGCTCTGCTAAATCGAGGTCCTCTCTAATCTAGAAAACCGGCAACTCGACTCCAAACAAGATTCATGAAATATTAACCACTGTGCTGGGTTAATACTAACAGAATGTTTGCCCAGCTCGAAAGACTGAGATGCAACATTTTGACCTTGATTTCCTTGCGCCTTGGAAAAAGCAACACCGAGATAGTTACTGGCCCAGAAAAGCTTCCTTTTGTGTTTGAATATTTGTCACTCTGTTACCTGTTGATACAAAGTACAATAGCGGAAACAATGTCAACAAATCAGACAGAAAATCGTCTAAAACTACTCCAAAGGATACATTGCACATCTGTAAACTGGATTCATACAGAGGGCGAATCTTCACAATCTTTGAAAAACACTGTACATAGTTCGCTGGTTCATTGCACAACGTTCGCAGTGGGTCACAGGGGTTTGGGCTTCTCTGTGAGTTACTGCTAACAGCTGACAGCGGAGCCACTATAGGTAACATATGACTTCCATTTACACACACACACACCTACACACAGCTACACACCTTCATACGCTGCTGACCCACTGCTGAGTTAAGGATACTCGGCTTGTGTGCGCTCCACAAGGTGTGTTTCACATAATGGATCAGAGCCCACGTACACTCAAGTCCCTGGACACGTAGCTAAAGGAGGTCCTGCTCTTTCTCGATCTCTATCCATCTCCATCTCTATTAAATGTGATCATTGCGATAAGACGACGTGAGACATTCCACATCGCAAGACACAGAAAAAAAAGTTTTTTCTCTTTCCTGTGTCCTCGAAGGAGTTGATGAATTATTTGTGTTGGGGTTAATATTTGATCAAGCTTGTGAAGCGTCTTGTTACTTAGATCCCAGGATCAGAGGTGATGATTTGTTATTATTTTCCAACTTAGGTACATGATAAACATTCTGAGATATGATATCGGGGTAGAACTGATTATGAGGTTAGTTAGTAATTAGTAATTTTTAAAGATGTCCAATGGATTTTTAATTCTTTGGACGGTGTAGTGTAATTTTAGTTCATTTAATTTGAAAGAAATTTTCTTAAACTGTGTTTCTTTTAACATTGTAGAGCTTCTCTCCCTCACATACTGTGAAAAATCCTATTCTGGCTGTGCTTTTGTGGTACTGCAAAATCAACAACAAAAGGGTCAGTACATACATTGTCTCTGTTGTCTCTGTTTTTATATCCACACTGTTGTCATTATGAGGCCTACAACAAAAAGTTTCAAGTCAACAACTGCAGCGACTACGGGGCACTGATACGACTGTGCAGTTACACAACACAGTAGAAAGGAAAGTTTAAAACGTCCAAGCGGTTTTCATCACTATTTAAGTATTGTGCACTGAAAATCTAGCACAACAATTCATCCAAGTCATCACCTCATGAAAAATAACAAGCGGCCGCAGTCCAATCTGACAACAGTGTGCTAAAAATGACAATGGGATGCTACTCGATCAACTTTTTCCTGTCACCTCGATGCCGCATAATATGCATGCCATTAAACGGCCCTGATGTCACTGTGCATGTGGAGCAGCTCCCCATGACTCACAGGGACTCACATTAGCCTCATCAGCCTCGCTGCGACCTGCAACCTGCCACCTTTAAAGGCACAGCCACTCTAGTTAGGATCCATTGGTGCTTTTTATAGACCTGTCAGGTTTTAAGCAGAGTGCAAAGTCAGGCAGCGTTTTAATTCCCAGATGTGATGATTGTGTTGTTCTCCACCGGGCATCTGGCTTCAGAGTGCGGCACCAATGGCGCGTTTGCACCGTATGCATCAGCCTGTACTGCGGTAACTGTCCCAGAGCCAGGACGCCTCTCTGCCGGGATGCTGAAGCCATATGGACTCACTCACAAAAGCACTTATACGTTTGAATAAGTCAGCTGAATTCTCACTTCACGTGAATGAGCGATGACGCATTAAGTGATAATAACACAAAGTCAGCTCTTCAGCAATCTAATAAAAATAAATATCAGAGAAAGAAGGCAGGTATAGAATAATAATATATCTCCAGAAATCATTAAAGAGCCACATTCAGCAGTCACTCGGTCACAGCAGTTATACGGAGCAGGGAGCCGCTTACCTCGGTGTGATGCTTATCCAGTGTTAAGCTCGCTGCTGCACACACACACTTCACTGAACTGTGTGCGCCGACGGCTGCTATCCACCAGCGTCCCGTCAGCGCTTCACCCTCACCGGCCACAGCTGCGTCACTGCGCCGCACCAAAGCACCAGCTGGCACCGGGGGATGGGCGACCGCCTCTTCACAATAAAGGCCTGGTCACTTCATTACGAAAACCGAAATAAATGTTAAAGTTGCAACTAAATTAAAATGTTTGGGCTCACTCACCTATTATAATATGTGTTGGCCACTTCTTTTCGGGAGCTGAACAGCACATGCTAATGCCTTAGCTAACTATCAAGCTCACTGATACCTGTGTTAGCAATAGCAAGTAGCTTGTCAACGTTACCTTTAGCCCTCCATGACAGGAACTATTTGCATTAATTAGGGAGTCCCGTTTTGGGCCACTTGATAAATATTAGTCCCAATTAGTCAAGTATAATATAGTTGCCATCGACAATTTAGGAAAAAATGAGCTGCTACACTATGTTTACCGACGTTAGCTATGTGCTAACATTGGCTGTTAGTGGCTGTTGGTAACTACGATAGCTGCCCGTCGAGGCGGGAAACGGAGTTGATATCACGAGACGGAAAAGAATCTCAACGACTATTAAAAGTTAAAGCCAGTAAAAGCAAAACACTTCGCTAAATATGCTATAATGTTAAGAGGTAAAAAAGGCAGGTTTTATGATCAAAACCGCGATATCACAGAGTCACTCGAACAATTGAGAACATAATAATATTGCAAAGCGATCTATTTGTCTACATTAAATACATACATTTTGCATATAAAAATGCAGACAATCTGCATTAGGTTGCTGTTCTCAAATCAATGTAGTGAATAATTAAATTCATTGGGTTGCTATTCCCAAATCAATATAGTGAATAATTAAATAAATGAGACACTCTTTAATTTAAAGCATGCTTGCAATGTTTCACTATAACGTGTATTTAGCAGTGGAGCTTTTACTTTGGAGGTTTTTACCAGAAGTCCAGGCTACACTCTCTGTGACTTTATACATGTGCCTCTCCTCCCAGAGCTTTTTGGAGGGGACCGATTTGGCAGCTTGGATAATTAATTTATCTTCAATTGTTGCGCGCTTACATATCTACTTGGAAACGGGTTTCTACATACCTATCAGACCATAGTGGAATCCAAAAAGAGAATATGGAGCGCTACCAAGTGACCAGACCTCTAACTGCACAAGAAAAGAAAAATACTGTTCACAAAGGAGAAAATAACAAGAAGAACACATTCAATTGGTATAAAAGTAAAATATATATTTGCATATTTCATGACAAATTTCAGAATATGACCGATGTACAACCAAACTTCCTAAAGGTTACTATATTGTTTATGTATGAATTCTACAAGTTAAGAAAGATATAAATAAAAATAATATCTTTTGTTTAATTGTAAAAAAGGATATTATTTTTATCTCATGGCTGAGTTAACATGACATCCATTACCAAATATGTTTAAATACCATAATTAAGTTTTCAATCCCCCATTTAAATTAGGGTTAGTCAATTATTTATGCTTTTCCCCAACACATACTTAAGGCAAATAAGAACATGTTTACCTTTCAGTTGCCACAATAAAATTGTTAAATGTTCCATGGTTATTAGAGGTAAAATATTGACAACACAGTAAATCACAGACTCACTCCGCCCATATAACAAACAAAAACATTGAACAATACAGGGAACTCAATTACACAGATTCACAAAAATGAATTAACTAAACATGTTATTAACACAATATTCATACTATTAAATCCTGATGGTGGTTTACCGAGGAAACGCTGTCTGCCTGACTTCAGCATCCCTCTTAAAATATTTATTACTTTAAAACTAAACCTAACGGAAGTAGACATGGGTCAATCAGCGCAGGCGTCGCGGCACGGGAGGGGCTGAGTTTGTTTGTCTCTGGTTTGGTCTTTGAGGAAGCGCTCGAGTCGGGCAGGATATGTAGCGCTCATGCAGCATCTTCTCTGGTATCCTACGGGAAACAGACGGCGCTGTGAGTAACTTTTCTAACTCAGGGTTAGAAAATCATAGGATTATTCACTGGCGGAATACACCCAATTAGGTCCCCATGACTTTTGACCTATACACCATAATCAGGTCATCATTGTGCCTCCTTGCCCAAGTAAAAAAGTTTGTAATATTTGTGAATTCACTGGACTGGACCAACAAACTAACATGACGCCTCCAGCCATGACATAGTGAAAAGGTTGTAATATTTTTGTTATGCCTGTTAAGGCTTATTATATAATGCACAACGGTTGAAGCAGTAGAACCTACACAAAACATTAAAAATGCAGGTACACTCCCCTTAATTCACGTTACTATCAGAGAACCAACGTCTCCACACACAAAATGCGCTTTTTCAACTCCAAGACTTTGACTGAAAACAATACAATAAATTAAGTTAAAATGTCAACACAATTGAATGTTTTATTAGGTTGTTCATCATAGCTAACATGAATGTCAGCTCAGCTGGTGTTACGCTGCTAAGCTAGTTAGCTTTAACTGGAGTTCTTTTTTGTCATCACATGATCTCATTTAGTTGTGTAGTATGTGGAGTAACAAATTGAGTCAATGTAAATTAACAAAGAGAACAGCTATAGTGTTGGGCACATCTGGCCATTAAGCTTTAGTTGAGGCTAAGCTAGCAGTAGCTATATCTTCCACTATTCTGTTCTGAGTGCATGTTTGACCGAGTGTTTTCCCGTCAACAGATTGCATTAATTAGAGTTCAGTACCTTACTCACTCTTACATTTATTTAAGAAACATTACTTAATGAAGTGGTCATAGGTTTACTTACTGTGGACAAACATGGTCAGTATATAAACACTACATTATATTTCAATCAATGTTTTCAATGACTGACAAACTACTTGTGTATCAAGGTTTGTACCTGTTTTGCTGCAGTACACACGTTTTTATCACACCTTTTAAAGAGAAACCAACACCTTTCTCATTTAAGATGACCAAACTGCACTTTTTTATAAAGAAAGCTACAGCAATTCCGTTATATTTCACAGGCGAACCACTTTGGGTGTCATGATATGTGATCATGAGCTTCCACTTGTGTGAAAGTCTGTGCTATCTCCTCTCTGTGTACAAAAGCTTCCTCCCTAATACACAGCTGTGAATCAATGAAAGGTGAGCGTTTTCTCCTCGTAACTTATTAGAAATGCTTCCTGTAGATTCTGTGTCCGTCTCTCCGTCTGTTTCCTTCACACCTCCAGGCTTATACTCTCACACCTCTGGTAGAAATGCTCTATACATAGTACCTAGTAACAGCTATTTACTCCCCCATATTGCATTCACTCTTCAAAAATAAATAAAGTGGTGTTATGAAGAGTATCCTAAAAGTGGAACATTTTTTGTAATAATCCAAAATCCAATAGAAAAATCCCATCAGCCGAGGGAACCGGTAGATGTTAATGTTGAAATGAAAGGCCTACAAACACGTCATCCCTGCAGCACTCTACTTGGCACTGACACATTGCAGTATAATTGTTTGCTACATGGTTTTCTTTTATATACGATTGTATCAAAGTGTATTGTTCGATACGACTCTGCATTGATCAGTAACCTCCATCACTGGTCGTCAGACTGACCTGTCAGGGAGCCTTGGTGGAATCCTGGGTGCAGAAGCGAGGGGTGCAGGATCAGACAGCCGCGGAGGACGTGGCGGAGGAGCGTTTTCCATTATGTCCTTTTGAAACACGAAAAAAGAAACACGCATTTGGACAAGTCAGATTCTTCCACGACAATTTAAAGCAGAACTACTGGATCAATCGAATCAATTATTAACCCACATCTATTTTTCCAGCAGAAATGCCAAACACTCTATAGTTGTAAGTTCTCAGAAAATTTGTTGTATCTACTTTCTTAATAATAATAATTATAGTTATAATAAACTCTGTCTGGTGTTGTGCGCTTGGGGTCAAAGACAAACCATAACAATTTGTTTTAGCCTTATTAAAGCAGCTGCTGACTGGCAGGAAATGGTTGGTGGAGAGGGGGTGTCACATTTAGCAAAGGGACACACATGAGGGTGGGGGGTTGTCTTTAGTCTGTCGGAATTTCTTTGTTCCTGTTGATATCCGTTTTCATCATACTTAGCATACATAGCACCAGCTACTACTTTAAATAGCTAAGTACATCTGTTGGCATCTGTCCTGTCTGGATATCATAGGATGTGTGTCAACATACCATTTTCAACAGCTAAAGACACATTTCATAATTTTGGACTAAAAGAGTGGACAAAAAATGTTTTATTGCATAAGTTGTGTAACACGAAACTGCAAATCTTTGGGTTTTACTATTTTTAAAATATCCCCATTAGGAACATGTTAATGACATGTTGATAATTGATAATCAAAACGGTATGAACGATTGATGAATAAAGAAAATGTTTGTTGTTTGCAGACCTATCTGCCAATATCAGATAAGAGACTCTTACGGAGTCAGGGTTAAAAATACAGCCGAGTATTGAAATCTATAAAAAAAAACACGTACATTTCTGATTACACGGGGGGATTCTGAGAAACCAGCCAGCTGTGCGCGCCTCAAAGGCTTTCACACGACATAAGAATTCAGGTCTAACTCTGAACTATACCCACATCTGCACTTGTGAGTAGTTTTAGGGACTGAGGGAAATACCAGGTGACTAAATAACTAAAATGAAGATCAGACTTTTTGTCTACTTCTCTGTTGCACTTCTGTCATGTCATGCACACTTCCTGCACAGATACATGTTTGACATGTACAGCAATCACAAGCGAAAGTGGGGTTTTGGTTTCCAAACCCCAACGCAGCAACAGCAACTCTTATGGTGTCTTTTTGAAGATGTTTCCACGTGCACTGAACCTGCTGTTGATGTTTGACTCTTGCTCACCTCAAAGTCCGGGTCTGTCCCGCTGCCGCTGAAGGTGCTATGAGTGCTGAGCCTGTTGCTCTCAGTACCTGATGTAACGCACGAAAAAAAACAGAAAGTACAGAAAGAAAACACGTGATTTTGAGTTTCGACAACATCTGTGCTTGTGGTGAGGTGAAAGATGTGCCGCCGAATGGGGATAAAAATACCTGCTCGAGTCTCGCAATAAAGACGTTACAGTTATGCAACACGTCTGCAGGCAGAAGCATGAGCGACTGGAGCGAGATTAAAACAGAGGACAGGCAGACTAAGTCTGTGAGAATGAGGAGGAGGCTGTCAGCAAACTCTTGACAGCCTTCGGCTTGACAGTTTATATATCGGCAATACAACATTTTTTGGGGGTTTCGCCCCCAATGTGGTCTCATGGACTTACTGCTAGGAGCTGAGAACCGACACTTTGGCCCTCATTATTTAGTTCTGACCACAAACAAGCCAAACAGCCTTAGTACGTAGAGCCCGGTGTTGCACATGGATGCCGGTGAAATACTAATTTGACCAGGAAGTGAAGTGACGAAGGCTGGTTGGTGCAGTTTGGTGCATTCTGTCATATGCAATCACAAGGGGTTTTTTTGTGCCTATGAAAAACTTCTCTCCTTACTGAACAAATACTGTGTTCTTGTTTTGAATGATAAACTATTTTATATAAGTGCACAAGACACTTCTGATGAGTGCCACACGCATCCAGTCACCGAGGGGACAGTTCTTTCCACAAATCAACAAAACCAAGGATTGGGACTCACTGGATGTGCTGGACGTGCTGCCCGTCTTCCAGGTGCTTCGCTGGATACTCTGAGGCACCGGGGGAGGAGGAGCGGCTATTCTGGGTGCCGGGTCGTAGACGGAACACTCTAGCGTCACATTGGAGCCCCAGTTGAAGTTCCTCTGCAGCGGAGCACTTATCTCAAAATCTAAGAGGGGAGAGACCACATAAAATGTACCCTGTACAGTCGGCGGGATATGATATTGCGCTGTGTGCTGCCCATGATCCATTTCATAAATCTAAAGCAAGCCACTTCACCGTGGAATTTTGTATTATCGCGCCAATCGAGCCATTTGATTCATAAGGAATAACAGAAATATTCAAATTGTAGTCAAATTATTCTACCGAGCTCCTTTCCTGTCTTCTCCCTCTCTTTGTGGCGTCTGGTGATGCTGTCGCGTAACCTCTTCAGATTTTCCTGAGGGACAAAAACAAAACAGCACACACGTGAGAAGTCTCGCCGGACCACCGATCGGCGACCGCGGAGTGCGGATATTTGATCTACCTGCTGATAGCGAATGGAGCTGGATCGCCGCTCATTGTCAAACTGCCAGGACTTGAAATCTTGGACGGCCTCATCCACGGTAATTTCCCCCACCTTCACTCTCTCCTGCAGCGAAATGAGCTGCCTCTGCCCAGGTGTCTTCATCCCCGCGTAGGGGTCATAAAGAGGAGAGAGGGGAGACGCCTCGGGGGGAACTGAATGGGGGGAAAAGGATATTGCGAAATGTTTCGCTTTGCGTTATTTCATCTCTCACTAGCTGCACAGCAAACACAAATCCAAATACAAGACGCAAGCATTGGTCTTCATTGTCTGATGAGGTGCAAAAAACAACAACTTTCAATTACAAATGTTGAAAACTTAAATACTGTTCAAACTGGCAGAAATGTTGATTGTTGGAGCTGATTTTTTAATACAACAGAATAATGTCCTTGAGCTTGTTATGCAACCAATACGATTATAATCAGTTTTACAAAAAGATGACATTACCTGCAGAGAATTCCCTTTCCAGCGTTTTACTCTGGGCTTTATCTGAAAATACTGTCAGAAATAATAAGTTATATCGTTCTGCACCGAGAGCAATTTGATGGAAGCTGGTGGGATTTGGGGGGAAATAAAAAGAGACGGCCTGATACCTCTGGAGATGTAGTTCTGAGGCTTTTCAAGGTCAGTCATGGACTCAGGTCTGGGGATGGGGGCCGGTGGGCGGTTCAGGACTCCGAGGTTGAAGATGTCGTTATCATCCACAGTATCATAGATATCCTCTGGGGAGAGGTTGTATATGTCCTCCTCTTCTTCAATTTCTTTAAAGTCATAAGCGCTTCCCTTTTCCTCCTCCTCACTCTTAAGGTGGTGGTTGTGCTCCTGTTGTACACCGGCATGCGGTTTTGCTGAAGGACACAATATATTATACACAGTATACTATAAATCTTCGTATTCAAGGCCATTCTTTTAAATGTATACCTTGAAAGAACTTCCTCAGCATAGCTTCCTCTGGGTTCTCGTCTACTGCACTCATCACCTCATCTGAAAAAATTGTTGAACCATAAGTTTTGTACAGTCGTCCTCGTTAGTTTCAATGAATCAAATTGTGTTTATCTTACATAAGTCCCCTGCACATGCAGGATCAATCCCCAGCATCGACTCATAGACGTCCTCCGGGCCGCCCGAGTACTTCATCATGATGTCTTGAGATGTAGTTACCATCGACTCATACACCTCCACGCATTCCTCTTTGTCGATGGAGTCTTCAATGTGAGACTTGAGCATAGCTGCCGTCTCCTAGATTTGTTCCAACATGAGAAAACACTCACAGAGTGAACTGAAGAACCCAACACAATCGCTTGATGCTACATAGAAATAAGCTTTCACCGCTGGACTCACAACAAACTCATCCATGAACTGTCTGAGGTCAGAGAAGCCGCTCTTCTCTGCCAGCGTGTTTGGGTAGGCTCCAGACTTGTTCATCACGCTGTAAGCCTGCAGAGCCCCGGGACACTGCAGGAGAACGGTGGTCAGCTTCTTCAGGCCGTACTTAGCAGCAAAGTGGAGCAGCGTGGGGAGCTCCTCATTACGCTGATCTGAAGGGCAAAACGCAATCAGATGAAACTGGCTTATACATACAATGATATTTGACTCCTTTAATATGCTTTTTAATTGTGATACATCCAAAAAACAGGCAGGCAGGCGGACATGGATCAGATTTGCTTCCAGGTATTCGCTCCTCATTGATTTGAAAAACCAGCACATGGGCCCCGGACTTTGGGAAAATAGTTTGGGAATGCCCTCAAATAAAAACGTTTCAGCAACTACTAGAGCAAGAAATGTACTCACATGACGTCATATTGTTTTCTTCAATCTGTCTGATTCCAAACAGCTGAAGACCAGTTGCAGGCATCATGGATTTCAAAGAGTCGGTCAGCATTTTGTCCAGTGATTCAGTTGCATTGGCTGTCAAGTTGAAGGCCTGAAAGTACAGAATTACCCACATGTCATGAAGAGCTGTTTAACATCAGCTAAATGTCTGAATGGGCCTCATTCACGGCCTTATTTTTTTGTTTGTATCCACATTATTGTAGCAGTTCTATTATGCTTTTGTTTTTTTGCTTCTGTCTGGTCAAAAGCACTTTTAAAAAATAGACCCAAACTGAGACCCAACTCCTGCTGGTCGATTGATCCCAGTAAAAACAATAAATATCAGCTTGTGAAAGACTTACATGCATACATACATTCACCGATGATTCAATTTTATCTAACAGCATATTGAGTTTCCTTTGTTCAAGTTTTTTTGTCAAGTTGTCTGAACTTCACTATTGCTGCACTTGTTCTATTCAAATAAAATGTGACGAAGTCCAATTACAGAAAAATTCTAGAAGCAAAGGTCCTGACTGTGTGATTCAATAGGAATAGAGTTGTATCAACATGTGCATGTTATCAATATTGACAAATCAATCAATTCAAAAACTCTTTGACAATATTTATAGTCACGTAACAAAGAACCAACAGCTTTTTACATTTTTGCCCGGTGGAGCAATTCGGGGTTTGGTGTCTTGCTCAGGGACACTTTGACATGGGACATGGAGCAGCCGGGGCACGAACCGCCACTCTTGCGGTTTCCAGCGCACCCTCTCTACCCCTGCGCCAAATTATAAATAATAAAGCTAAAAACACATCTTAACACGTCTACTTTTGGACTCGACAGTCTCAGCAAATTATAAATAATAAAGCTAAAAACACATTTCAACAGTTTAATAGTATATATATATATATATATATATATATATATATATATATATATATATATATATATATATATATATATATATATATGGGATGGTGAGATGGTCTGAAAGTGCGCACAGACGTGTTAAAAGCACAACCGTGTTTTTTTTAGCTTTTGGTCCGGATCCAGATGTGACGGCTTCTGGCTCCGGATCCGGGCCGTGGTCCGCCAGTTAGTGACCCCTCATTTAGGGGCATCTCTCCAATTCTTGGGCACGTGCCAGAGTATTTGCACATTGCACAAAGCTAACCCAGTAATGTGTATGGGGGCGTTATCAACGTTAATGAAGAAGAAAAAGCCTCACACCTCCAAATGGGAAAGTATAGGGAATGTTTCTCACCTGGCAGATGAAATTAACAGGATCAGCAGCAGCTTCGAGATACCGGCTGACCTCCCCCATATTGGTGTAATAAGTGACAGGCCTCAAGCTGACGGAGTATTGGTCAGAGCACATGGTGAGTGATATCACTCCAGCAGGCATATCTAGTGGGCAGGAACAGGAAACGCAATCGTTTCAGATTGAACATTTGAAAATGATCACAAAGAAAAAAATATTAAGAATAAATTACTTTGCTGTAACACTTACCAGGTGCAGTAACACTTATAGTGTATTCATTCTCTAATGTGCCTGGGACCCTTTGGGCAGATATATTTTCCAGTGAAAACTCCACCTCCAGTACTGACCCATCGTCTATTTTATCCGTGAAAATGATAAAAAGTTTCTCCCGTTCCTTAACAAAAAAGGGAAAACAGGTTCAATATAGCTTGTTAGTGGTTCTACAAGGACATTTCTTATACATCTCTAGAATACTGTTGATACCACCACAAACCCTAAACAGCAATAACAGAATGTAAATACCTCATATTTCTGCACATAGTCGTCTATCTCACTCAAACTAATTCAATTGAGTGTGAATCAGTGTGGATTGAAACACTTGTTACACTTGGCGTTGCCATGGAAGCAGCTCTGATTCGTACTGGTGTTACGTATAAGTAATCAGTTCACGTCCTACCCCGCACAGGACTCGGCTCGGCTGAACGGTGAGGCAGGTGAGGCAGGTGAGGCCCGTGGCTTCGCTGAGCTCCTCGCTTGTGGAGTTCTCTGTGGCCGCTGGTTCTTCATCCTCCTGGACAGCTTCTCGTGTCTCCTCTGACACCGCTCCCTCCGTTTCATCGGTGTCAGGATTCTCAGGCGAAGAGGCCGCGGTTACGTGCAACTCCGGCGCGGCTACAGCTCGGCTCTTATGTTTGGCCTCCAGTCGTCTGCCTTTTGAACGCAGAAACAAATGAATGAATAACATAACCTGTATTTACTCTGATTATCTCGTCTCTCTCCCGGAAAGGCGTCATGACGACGACGAGTCATGCCGCTCCAGATGTTCCATTCCAGTGGAGTAGAGTGAAGCTCAAACTTCACCACATGAACCATTCGATAGGCAAGTGAGACGATATATGTCGTGTTTCTGTGGGTTATGGTGAACCAGTTATAGAATACAGGTGTCATAACACGCTACAGAAGTGGGGCATCTTTAAAGGCAGGAAAACAAATAGTGACATGGGTTTTTTGCGTACTATCAGAGATGGACTGCAAAACGGTGGAAATGTAGAGCGCGGGCTCGTCGTCAGGGTAGAGCTTCCTGAAGTTGGGCCAGTCCTGGAGCCACTCCGTCGGCACGTCGTCCTCCCGCACGCCGCACAGCAGCACCACCACCCTCTGCGGAGGCTGGAGGAGGCCCAGCAGCGCTCCCTGCACCTCAGGGTCACACAGCATGCTCAGGATGGCGGCGCTGAGGAGCAGCACGACGCACTCGCAGCTCTGTAAGCTTTCAAAGTCGCGCCCGTGGAGCTGATCGTCCAGGTCCACCGCGTACAGCAAAATGGACTTCTTGCGGAACTTTTTGGAGGACTTCAAGATCTGCTGCAAGTAGGCGGCCCATTCCTGCGCCTCGGCCGCGTGCAGAACCAGCAGCTCGCGAGGCGAAGGTGATTGGTGTTCAAGGCCTGTGAGGCAGAAGAAGCGATCAGTGTGTACAGTGAGTGCATTCAAACCGGGGCCTTCGAACGGAGAGTATTCATCATTAGTTCCTTAAATACCGCCGCTCATGTCCAACCACGTGAAATTAGTCACAATCCTGTAATCAGCTCAAACATGACGCGACATCCGCCGCGTCATGTGTGGGCCTTCACGCCGGATAATGTTCGCCGTGGAAATGCCTTAACAACATCGCAGCTGTCCCGCTGTGAAATGTCAAGGTGACTGCGGTTAGTGAGTGAATGTCCGGTTTGTTGGATACGCCAGCGCCGAGGCAGCCAGGAGTTGTGCAAACATCGCTCTGTGTCAACACTGGTCACAGTAATTTAGTTTGACTCATTACAGTGTTTAATCAGGTCAAGTTCACCTCTGTACACGTGAACTGGGACAGAAAGCCAACATGAATGTGTTCCCTTGTTCACAGTGTCCACCGAGGACAGGACACAGAGTGTTCCTAATGGAGCGGTAACGTAGCTCGAGTTAAGACATGTGGGAAATTCTAAAATAACCTTTATATTCATATAACCGTACAGGAAGGCTGAGATGCTCGCTTCCTCTTTTTTTCTGCGAGCCCAGAGAAGAATTCTCAATGAGGGTTCAGTTAAATAAAAGTACATTTCAAAAGAAAGGATAAAAGGTTCTTAAAGACTATTCCACATTGGGCAAAATTAATATATTTTCAAGAACTGAAAGAAACTAAAACACGGTTACGGTGTAGAAGATGTGTCGTATTTACCTGATTGTACACTTCTGTCGGGTACTTCCATCGTCGCAAAGCCTCAAAAGAGCACAAAATCATCCCACACAAGGCATCGTCAGCCCCAATTTTTCCTTTTGGTTACTGAAGTTCACTAAAGCTTCTGTCCTCTTCAACTGAAACTGCTTTAGCTTTCACCAGCTGCACTGAAGCCCTTTGCTGTATTAATAGCAACACTCGGTTTCCTCATTTTGGTGACTCTGGCCCACTTCCTGAAACAGCTAAAGTGAGAAAACGCAACACACTAGTACCCTGTCATTGAACACATGTTGCCATTCAGTTTATCATCTGTTTATAGATTGTAGCTCATAATGACAGAATAAAAAAAGAAGCATTTATCTAATAAAAAGACGGGGTAGCTGACTGAGTTCAAGTCTTGTCAAACCTTGACATACAGATAAATATAAAGCCTTTATTCTTTAATGTAGGCAACACTTTTGCTTTCTGTTCAATGATTTTGCAGACACACAAACTCACACAAGCGTCATACTTCAATTCACCTTTTGTGTGGGCCGCATGCTTCTTCCGTTTTTTTAACTTCCTTAACAATCAATGATGCAGACAACAATAGATAAAAATGTGTGTTTCAAAACGCAAACTCTCTCCCTTGGTCGGTGTGCTGCGATAAAAGGTGATGTGAAACTAACGTAGCTCACTTAACAAGGCAACAAGACTGACTCTTAACATGCCGAGTCTAACATATATACCCACATTAAATATATATATGTGCTAAAATGAGTATTCAAAGTGACAGTAAAGGTATGTTTAAAGGACACAGTATGTATGTACAGTACCATTCCAACGTTTTTTTTTCTTTATTTAATTAAATTTTTTCTACATTGTGGATTATTATTGAAGACATCAAGTCTATAAGTGAACACATATTTAATTATGTGGGAAAACAAAAAAATGCTCAACAAACCAGAATATGTTTTATATTTGAGACCTTTTAATAACAGCACACGCATTCTTTCAATCAGTAGTCACCTGTGATGGTTTTGCAACAGTTCCACACAGGTTTTATTTTTTACAGGTTTGATGTCTTCATGTAAATATTAATCTACAAGGTAGAAAAAAAAAAAAGTAAAGAAAAAAGCATTGACTGAGAAGCTGTGTCCAAATATTTGACTGATACTGTAGATAAATGAACCATCTGTGTCACTGCTGCCACGGATTTGGTGTCTAGAAATGACCAAGAATTTTTCCATTTTCTTATAACGTGCTTATAAAAGCACGAGGCACCACGCCGCTGTGGCCACTAGAGGGCAGCAGTGAATCGCCTACGCGAGCCAACAGGACGTCGCCATCACCGGCGAGCATGCAGAGAAAGGAGCCAGACACCCCCTGAAAAGAGGGGGTAATACTCTGTAACAGTAATATCCCAACATACTAATTATTTAATACGGACATTGCCCCCCTCCGACCCCCCCCTGCATAAACAGAATTTGGACATCTGCAGGCCAGGATGAAGAATAGAGCAACTTTCTGTCTTTAATGACATTCATAAAATCCCAAGACAAAGGTTTTATCGACTTCTCTGACCGCTATCTTCTTTCCCCAATAATGCAATTAGGTTTGTTTCTGCTGTGACCTCGTTCTCCCACGTAGACCTTTTAATGGCCGCAGCACAAAACCTCCTCTCCAGCTTCAGAAGCTGCCTGTGAAGAGCAGGGTGATCCATGACCTGCCTGTAAGTACAATTTCCTGTAGAAAAAAAATCCCTAATTTCTTCTAACTCTGCCATTAGCTACCATAAGCATGACCGGCCAGTTACCTTTTGTTTGGGCTCGCTTGAAACCACTATCTATTAGGTGGCTCAAATGAAATCCCTGCAGCCCGAGTTTAATAAGGGAATATTTTCTCTGCTGTGTTTTAACCTTGTTATCCAATATCCTGTCTTTTTAGTCAGCAGTGTGTTTCCAGCAAAGAGCGACTCTGCCAGAGAGCTTGTGTCTGTTCACAAAAGAGACCTGAGATCGCAGCACAAAGGGTCACGCAAGGAGCAAACGCGTGGTGATAATCTGCTGTGCCGGCACTGGATTAGCAGCAATACGTACATTGACAGTTTACTGCTACCCGAGCTATTTTTAGTCTCCCCGTGTTATGTCCCCAATTGCTATTTTCAAGGCTTCTTCTATGATGTTCGTTGAGTAAATGATATTTCCATAGACCACAAAGCAAGGCATACTTTAGGGCGGGGCTACCTTGGGATTGACAGGTTGATACCATTTGAGTTTTCATTATACAATTGTATCCAGCGTCCGGCTGCACGCCACTGTAGTCAGCCAACTAATGTGTGACACCACGGTGACTACATCCACTCCTCATGTGCATTCTGGGATGTTGCTCGGACCGCTTAATACCAGGCTGCTCAACTGTGCTTGGCAAATTTTTCTAAAAATGTACATGTTTTACATGATAATTTAAACTAGGGCAGAAATAATTGTACAAGTTGTGTGAGTTAACTCGTTGTTACTCGTAAGAAAACCCCCCTCCTGCAGCCGAGAGGCACATAATTACTGTGATGGGTGTGAGAAAACTGATTGGTGCCAGTTTTCAGAAAGGAATTTGATTCCAACAACGTACACACAAAGTGCCGCCCGGTTGGGAATTTCCCAAAAGGTAATTTTTGAGATGCGAAATAAGTGCGGCCTTATTCAGACATGTATTTTTCAGACTTTGCAACACTTTCATGAGCTCATGAAATTAGCTCCCTTCACAGAGTAGCAGCCCGGAGCTCTCGCAGGCAGGAGGCTGTGACAGAAGGTGCGGGGGGGGGGGGTGGGGTGGGGTACTGTACTTCTAATATTGCCGACACAACGGTCATGTTACCGTCTTCTTTGCTGTACCTCCCCCACCATCCCCCTCCCTGTCCCGGGAAAGCTCTACCTCGTACTTGATGCCGTTTGGGAGGCTTTTTAAAGCGGAGGAAGCGGGAGACAAAGCGCAGGCCGAGGACACGGGGTGCAATCTTGAAATGGAAAACTGAAATGGGGAAAAAGGGTCTGGAGCTGAAATGTTATTTGGACGATAGCCTGCATAAGAAAGGAACTGTGTTTGGTTTCTCATTGAGAGTCACCGGCAGCGCTCATTGTGATAAGAAAATAAGTCTAATGTTACCTGATCTGGTATAATGTGGACCAATTACCACTCCATTGCACTTCATTACAGGACTGTAAAGGGCCGGGGGTCAGCGCTTGAGTTGGAGTGGCACAGGAAAATTGAGTAGTCATTGATAATATGATAAAAACTGACAGTGAGAGGCCCCTCTGACAAATTATTGAAATTTACAGTTGATAGGGAAACACTATAACCTCATTTGGTAAGCAGCTGGCAAGCAACACAATGGCCGGCTTATGGAGAGAAGGAAATCCTAAACTATCACAGAATAGTTTTAGACTCCTGCTCACTGGCATCTGGCTCTGAGTGTGTCTGCATTCAGTTTTCAGAAATAGCCCAAACTAGTGGATTGTGTTTTTTTTCCCCCTCTTGATTATGCAGGTACGGGCGGATTGAGCAGCCCCATTATAGGCTGCAACAGTGATATGCTGGAAAAAACAGAGGAGAAAAATCCGTCCCTACGGCGTTATCTCATTCTCAGTGTCTCTCCGCGATGGAACAGAGAAGTGCGTATGAGGAAATCTAAAATCTCACCGTCTCCGCAGACCACTCCGCTCCTGGAGAACCTACGGCAGCCATTTGTTTGCCTCCGTTAAAGTGGCTCCATTGGAGGCCCCTTGAATAAATAAATCAAATAAAGTACCGTCAGACATACATTTCCAATCCATCAAGGTAATCAGATTCTGTTTACCTGAATGGGAACTATTCTAAAATGTTATTAAAAACTTAAATGGAGTTTAGGTGTGGAATAACCAGGCACAGAAAATGATGAGCAAACAGCCGGATAAGATTCCAATTACTATTAAACAAGCATCGCATTGACTAGTAAAGAGGAAAATAGCTTTGACATTTTCCTCAGCCGCAGCTTCCACCTGACGGGGTTTGTCGTATGAGAGCGACGGCCAATTCAATTCATGGGGATTTTAGACACGAGGTCGTCAGCGCCTGCTGGAATACTGCTTAGACGTCCATTTTCACTTCCTCCATCCATACATGATTTAAATATCAAGTGCATGTAGAGATAACGAAATAAGAAAGAAAACATTTGATCATGCATTGAAAACGGAACAGACGTGAGGCGACGTGTGTTGAAAATGTCCCTCGCAGCTCTCCATCGTTTGCACGAAAACGTCGTTAACTCAACGAGGCCGTGAAGTCATTACCTCGAACTCACGCAAACATAATTCATGAATCCTTTAGAGGCCCAGTTAAGTTTATCTCACATATCTAAATAGGCAATATATTGAATGCATGCCTCATTGATCAAAAGTGTTGTGGGACAACTTATCGAGGGTCCATCTTTAACTACTATTTAAAGATCATTGTGCGTTCATCCGCAGCCTCCGCTCGGCTGAAATCACTTCGCCATGATAAGGCAGTCAATTTGGATGTCAGCTGTGGCTACAGTAATCACACTGTCCACTAGATAAGTGTGACTTTCTTTATTTATATTGAGCCCCGCGCGTGTCTAGTTGAAGATAATAGTTTCATTTTCCAGAGAAAGTTTGCCAGCTACACTCATTGCGGAGTAAATGTGACAGATTGCTGCTTCATTAGCATTCATCGCGCTGACGTAGAGGGGTTCGTCTGATGAATCAACAAAAGCAACGTGCAACGTGTACCGGCTTAAACGCACACAGTACAGCTGGAGAAGTGCTGCAAAGTCTTGCTGGAATTAGAGAAAAAGAACTGCGTTTCACACAAACTATAATAAATAATCAATCATGAAGACATGATACATTAATATATCATACAGTACATTTGGATTCATTTATAAAAGCCTAAAAAAGGGACAAAACACTTTTTGTCTTTTGTAGAAAAAGAGCAACACATGTGTGTGTGGTGTCAGCTGATCAGCTGTAACCAACATTTCCACATCAGCCTGTGTTGTTGACCGAGGCTCCATTAACCGAGAGGTAGAAGTACAGATCCAGCTGCTCCGTTGAAGCTAAATCAGTACCCGCAGCAGGAATGTTTAGATTGAGTCAGGGATGGAAAACAGCAGAGGTCATGAACCACGTGATAAAAAAACGGAGCCGCGCGGCACCACGAGACCGACCTCACCTAAGTGGAGATTTCGATGATGACACCGGCTCCATACTTAGCTGGTGGCTCCAGTAGGCCGTCCTTTCAGACACCGATGAAGGTCCCTTCACAGTGCACGGTGTGAAGGGACCCACAAATGGATCCCTGCGGAACGTTTCTTTGGGCTTCTCCAGAATGTGAGGCAGCCCGTTCGAACGGGGGCCTTTGTGACGGTTTCTCAGGAAGTCACCGGAGGCGTCCATCAAGTGACGCATGTGGAGCGAGTGTGAAAGAGGCCTTCCGAGAGGCTTTCATTTCTCAAATTACAAAGTGCATACTTACAGAGCTATTGCATGGCAGAGCCCCTCACACTGCAGGTGTAGCATTGGGGATTTTGCACTTCCACAATGAAGCACAAGAGGTCAGAGCTCCACTACAAATACAGCGAAACACCTCGGCGCCTAATCCGCGGCCGCGGCGTGCCAGACGTGCACTATTCAGCGTTATCGTGGGGGCCGCTCCCTCAAAGATGTCCCTGAAATAAGTTTGCTTAAAACATCATTACAAATCCAATTAATAGTGTCATTAAACTAGATGAAAAGAGTGACAACATCGTGTGATGGGGATTCTTTGCCGATGCAGCTGAATAGCAGGTGGCTGTTGGCCTCATGAGTAGATGTTACAGGAGGAAGGTTCTGCTGTGGCTTCACTGTTTACACACACTGACACTAACTACCAGACTGACGGGTTTTTTAAATGTATATTTTAGAGAGCATGTCTGTATTGTGTTTGTTACCACCAGTAATAGTACATCACTCGTTTTCAATGTCCAATGAAAAATGACATTTTAACACTTACTTGGTTTAACTCACTATACGTTGGTCTTGTTGAGGTTGTTTTACTGGAAACCCAAAGTCCACGGCACGCATGTGGGACCAGGTCCAGGTCCAGCACAGAGACATCGTAGCCACATTCATGCCTTGAGGTAATGTGCAACCTTTTAATTGTCGCTTTTTGTTTTGCTTGTCATGTGTGTTCCCGGGATGGCATATATTACTGTATCTTGTATTCTTATTAGACTGCAAAGCACAATCTAGTTTTCTATTAACACACTAACACAATTAACTTCTCATTAGAAGTTAATGTTAACACAGTTAACATCTGTGTCTCGGTTTATAAGCGTTTAGGTTGACAGGAGAAATCTGCTTAGCCAACTAAAGGATGTCTGAGGGTGTTGCGTTATAATACATGTAGCGACATAATAACGTAATATGTTCCCTTTACTGAGACTCGCTAATATAATAAATTACAAATGAACTGAGAAAAGGTGTCAAAGTGGATAAACCCCCCCAACATGTTACACAGACCTACGATGCAGATGTGATGTGCTTATTTAAGCTGTAAGAGGCACTGCTCATGGCTCACATTAAGCTCCACACACTACTTCAATTTAGCAACAAATTAACGTGCTGGAATCCAAAAACCATGAGTCGATTATTATCTTTATTAACCAAAACACTTCAGAAATGAACGGCAAAAATGTTTGAGAATCTCATCTCCAACGTATTCACTATCTCTATTTAGTATTTTAATAACTCCTTTTTGCAGCATTCTCAGACCATATGCACATTTTTACTGGCCAGTTTCTAACTTAGAAGACTCCCTCAAAACAATAATGGTAATTCCTACTTTTATTGTATACTCACTAAATAGTCTGATCTTATTTGGACTTAAATGGAATATAGTGGTCCTCAAAAACAATAACAGTGTTATAAAACGTTAGCACCTCTTTCCTGGTTCGGGCTCGTCATTTTGCACAGGAGAACATGAATACCGCGTGAGAACATGAATACGTATACGCATCCCATTGAAGCTTGTCTCCTTCCACTGTCAGAAAATGTCCCCTGTCCGACGCGTCTCTCCCGTGTCCTCCTGCGTCATCGACGCCATTGACACTGAAGAGGATTACGAGGTGAATCAATAAACACCGGCCGGCTTCATGAACGAGCACAGTGATACCTTCTCACCAGGTCAGGTCTACCTGCGAGGCCCATCACCAGGTGCTCGTCTTCTCCACGTGGACACATCGACCTCAATATCAGCGACATCATCCCGCTGTAATGAGCTCAGTGACGCTGCTGCATCTCACTGTGGGGTCTCAGTGCTCGCAGTAGCCAACGAATGAACGTCTTCCACTAGATGTTCTCCACTTAACCCGCAACTTTGGGAACTTCATTGCTGTTTTTTTTTTTGTTGTTTTTTTTTCAGTTGGAAAAGTAAATCTCTTAACTTTCAGCAAATGGCGCGGGACAAGAGGAGGCGAGGCCGCCGAGCAGACAGACGAGCGTTCCACTCTCCGGCTCTTAACAAGCATAGTAATACATCAGTCAAAAGCAATAATTTTACTATTAATGAAATTCCAATTTGCCTTCAGTGCATTTCACGTTGACATTTTCCACATTGCAACAGCGCTTTGATAAAGTTTTTAAAATGCAAAAACGCATCTAAGAGGCTAAAGACCATCCCGGGTGTCAGCGTGCCTGGCAGAGGACTATGGTACTTAATTTTTATCGCCGCGTGCCCGGGGCATTGAAAGCCTGAATGTTAACATTGGCTCCATTTTCATTATCATCATATGATTATGGATTTTACTGCATTTAGCTGATAATACAACTAGGAGCTCACCTTAAAAGAAGTTGCTCGAAGGTTTCATTTCTGCCCAAATGAAATTTTCATTTGACAAACAAGTATAATTAGGCTGCACTTCTTGTTCAGTGTCAGTCTGTTTTCTGATTGAACTTCGACCAATTTGCTGCCGCTAAATGAGTTTGAATAATTTCCATTCCGAATGTCTCGGGGACATTAGCTTTAGGAGCGCTAAGTGGCCGCATGCTTTTTGAAGTTGCTGATTATTTGATGCCACCCCTGTCTACCTATATGTTTTTTTTTTTCAGCTTACTTCAAAGTTAACAAGGAAAAAAAGAGGCTCCACACAGCGTTCCTCGGAGTACAATGAGAATTTAAAAGTGTTTTTGGCCAGGTCTGGGAGGCAAAGGGAAAATGACTTTAATAAGTGTGTAATACACTTCGTTAGCTTCAATGCTCTTTGCTTCTTCACTTTATTTCTTTCATGTGGCCGCTTTTATTGTATTGAATGAGCGGATTTGTTTCTGTTAAAACTGCGCACCTAATAACTAATGTAGCTGTATCGGTTTCATTAAACCCGCTAATTGTTAATGAGTGAATTATGAATTAGGAGACCTGCTGCAGCTGGCGCTCTCTGTTGTTGATAGACAAAAATGTTTAGTACACATTAGAAGCTGGTTCGTACTGGTCGGCAATGTCATACCATCGCCTTCATCCATGTCAAGTGTTTATTCGCTCCAACACAATAGCAATAAATATATGAGGAGATAGAACTGTTGCAGATTGCCTGCTATTAATAGCAGCGTAAGCCTCTGTGGACCACTGCGGATGGCGGAGAAAAGTGCGGTTCTTTGTACATTTTCCCCTAATGGATTTGGTAGATGATCCAAAATCTGGGTAACAGCTATTTCAGCAGGTTTAATCCCGTCATCCTCGAAAATAAATAAAATAAACAGCAATACGGAGCAAATTTGAACGAGAGAAATGCAGTGAATCAAACGCGTGAGGGCAGAAGAAAGAGAGGATCGCAAATAAAGCCCTACGCAGGATTGATGGGAGGAAACAGGGATTTTGACAACGTGATTTAGAAATGTGGAGGAAATGGTAACGTCAACGGAGGGCAGAATTACATTTTATTATCATACAAGCAAACTCAAACGTTTCTCCGGTTGGTTACATTTGAAGATGTTCCATCATCCAAAATAGATTTTTAGTTAATTCTATTGACATTGAAAAGAGTATTTTCAAAGCAACAAATCCTGACACATGATATGATCAAATCCATCTTCCCTTTCAGGGGTCCCAACATTGCAAAAGATCTCTGCGCTCATAAAACAGGCACTAAATAAGAGAGCTGCGCACAAAGCACCGCTGGTTTACAGTACAGAGGACCATTGAACTGAGATGACAGTGGGCTCAGAGACCACCACAAAGTGGAGATATTGCGGTGGGTTCCACTCAAAAGGCAGAATGACTGTGGACAAAAAGGATTGCAGCATGCCGGCAAAATACAAAATTAATTTACATTGTACGCATCTTTCTAAGGAATTAAACAGCCCCAAAGTTGTACAACCAGCTGACACAATGTTGGGCTGCGGCCTTGTCCGCGCTCATAACGTGACATGTTTAATGAACTATGGGTTTTCCATTTAATCACATCACAATTTTGCGCTGACTTCCTGTTTTCTTTTTCAACGTCCTTTCGATCGCTGAACTCCAATAAACAGAAGCTGCATGCAATTATCGTTAGGAATTCTGTGTCAAGAAGCTGTGAAAAAACCCTTCTTAACACCACAGTACCTAAGAGCCAGACTTTTAATTGACACGTTGAAATTTTATGCATGACTTTCTACGTCTAGAGTAATTTTATGCCAGAAAGTGTTGACTTTTGCAGGTCTTACATCTGCCATAATGATTACCAGGAGCTCCAATGCATCGTGCAGACAGCCTGCAGTGGGTTCCTCTACCTGGCTTTGACGGGTTGGTGCTGTGTGCCAGAAATAGTCCAAATAAAAAAACCCGATATGTCTCAAGCAGAAGCAACACACACTACATTGCCCACGTACAGTAGTCTCATTAGCTGACAGGAATTAAAACACACTGACAGTTGCAGCTCAAATCTTTGAATTATTTCCCGGATATTTAAACCTGACCATCAAAGCCCCGTACAACCTCTCATGATAATGACAGCCATACTTTCCTGTCCTACGGCAACCATCCCGGGATGTCGAAAGTGCAGCATCATGACAACGGCACACGCCGTCTTAGTCAACCTTTGCTCACTGTCACGCAAACAAAAAAGTTTTTAGAAGCAATTAGAGCTGTAAGTTAGAGCTGATTTGTCATCTCCCCTGGCAAGGATTTCCAAAGATCAAATCTCTCTCCACCCGCTCCACTAAAAGGCAAACAGCGATAAAACCCAAATCAGATTTCGGTATCTCCAGCCAGCAGTTTGCGTCCCCATCCAAAGCAAAGCTGCTTAGCCTTGGCAGCTAGCACACGCGTGTGCATCGCCGCGGTGGCAACAGGGTGAGCGGGACCTCTGAACCGGGCCACCGGAAGCCTAATGAATGATGGGAAGAAACAATGCAAACCATTCATTGCCGTAATTAGCGACGGCCTCAAGTAGCCTTTTCATCATTAAAGCGGATGGCGTGCAGTCGCCGGCGGGAGTTTACCCGACTTCAACCAGCATCCACGCTCTCCCTCCATTCAGATCTGTGGCTAAATCCCAGGTGAGTGACAGGTGCCAGCTACAGGGCTGTTAGGAGAGAGCGTTTGTTGATATAACCGTGTTTTCCTCTCTTTGAGCAGCTGATCTGCAAAGGTACACATAAAGGCCCTCCTTCAGCAATGTACACAGAGCACTTCCAAAGGAGTACATAGAAATCCCCCCTCCTCCACCCTGCGACATTAAACACTGTGGAGGGGGTGCAGTGGGAAGCGAGGGGGGGGGGCGGTGGAGGCTCGGGGACTCAAACAAACGCTGGAGAGTGGCAAGTTTGCGTTTGCCCATACCAACAAGCTCCTATCTCATTAACAAACCGCTGAAATAAAAGAGTGCTTTTTTGGCTCACAGCTATAAAAAAAAATTATCATAGTGATGATGTTCCTCAGCCGTCAACAGAGCTGTGATAACGTTGTTTGATGATGACTTTCCCATGAATGTTAAGCAGCCGCGGCGGCGGAGGAAAGGAGCTTATCAGCGTCTAATGCCCATCTCTAATTCCTGCCCTTCTTGAACTAGCCATTTTCTAACAGCGTTAACTGTCAAATTTACATCCCGTCTTAATGCCACTAAAGAGTACGGGGGATGAAGAGTAAATGACAGCAGTGTAATGAGGAAGGCAAGGCATTCCTTCCTGCTTTCTCTGAGAAGAGAGAGATTTCCACAATATGGAGGCTTTTTTTATTTCTCCTCTTCGTGTGCCGCGATGCCGGGATGGACGGCTTACCTGGAAACTCACTGTAGGTGCACATGAGATTAATTAGCAGTAGTCTTTTATGTGAAGGAGGGAAAATATATATATTCTAAACATGCAGGTAAAGAAATCATTGATCACTGTAATCACACATTATATGCACAGCTGTATCTTCCTCACTTCACTGTCGTGTTGCAGATAAAAGATCCTGTTTCCAATCTGTTACCAAACTTCTTTCACGTGTTAAACATCATTGGTCCTCGGTGCCCAGTGCACATAATGAAAGAAAACAATGAATTACAACAGGGTTTGGATTCAGCACAACTGAGCGTTTCTTATCAGCGGACTGACCACTTTCATTCCCTGTTTTTAAATTGCCATTTTGTCCATTAAGTCAATTAAAAATGCTGAACTTTTGCAGGAGACAATCACTCCTGACATTCAAAGAAAATAATGGCAAAATTGCCACAGCTTCATTATAAAAACAAAACTTGTTTTACATTGATAAGGGTTCAACCTTTAATATGTATATATATATATATATATATATATATATATATATATATATATATACATACACATACTGTATGCACAGACATATATGTGCATTTACATATATATATATGCATATACATGCAAATGAGACAAGTTGAAAGTATTGTAATATCTGCATGTTATTTAAGATGGCCTTTAAGCCTCCTACCCCAGATGCTATCATGCTAATTCATTCATCAGGTATATTTCTCATTATTCTGAGGCATAGTTTTATGTCAGGCAACGTAATATATCGCTACGATTCAGATTAAACAAAACACAACAGTGTTTGCGGTTTGGATACAACAGAAGACCGCTGGAAATGACAGAACATTCAAAAACGACATAATCAGTGGTAGAATGGTGTCGAATGTGCACCGAGGGCTTGTGTCAAAGTAAATGGGATTTCGTCATAATTTAATTTGGACTGGTGAAAGATGAGTTCCATGTCATTGTGTCCTCAGGTTTCGACTCAATCGCGTTCAATATTCAATCTCCATTCTCGCACGGGAGAATTGGAGGGAAGATAAACAGAAGAAAAGGTTGTACCTTCCATCTATGCGGTCTTAATCAGCCATGCAAGTGAACCTATGAATATGTAGTCCATTTCATCTGAGGGGTCGGACGCTGGTGGGGCAGGCCAGCCGAGATCCAATCTCAGCCCGTCTGATTGGACCGTGTAACGACTCAAACTGAGCTCATTTCATGCCAATCTGGTTGCCTCCAGTGAAACTATCCTAAAGGCGAGAGGCTACAGTGAGACACAACAGATAAACGGCAAAGAGAAGTTGAGGGGGCCTTCATACCTTTGAGAAGAAATGTTTTAATTTAAATGTATCACTTCATCAGGGTAAAGTCCCCCAGCTTGGCAGCTCCCAGATTACACCAATTAAACATCAAATATGGCGAACTCGCTGCGAGTGAACAAATGCCTTGTGCGCTCCTGTTTAAAGGTTTGCTCTACAACCGCCATTAGTCCGCCGCAACACAGCTGTTGTGCTGAAATGATCCACCGAAGCGCCTTTCATTCCAAAACTGTGGCTCGATTTGTGGTTTTGGTTGTTTAATCGAGCAGGAGGAGTAAATGTTTAAAGGTACAAATGTGTGTGCACATCATATATATATGTGTATATATTTATATACACACACATTATATATATATCTATATATATAAAAGACTGCATTTTAGTACACATCACATGATGTGATGTGTACTAAAATGCAGTGTTTTATTGCCTCAGAGAGGAGGCAGACGTTGTACACATCTGTACAGAGTGTCATGTTTCATTTACACTGTGGACAATTTGCAGCTCTTGTATTCAACTCCTTCATGTTTGATGCTTAGCGTGTCTTTTTTTTCGTGACTGTATCCTCCAGTAAATGATCCCTTTACCGGATGCAGATTTTTCAGTGAGTCTCATGACACCCCGCTGGGATCAGATTTCATTTTGAATACTCTTTCTATCATTTTACGCACACAAAAGCGAGTCGGTCATAAATTCAATTATCAAAAAAGCTCACGATTATTGAGCCATTAGTTTGTCCTCAGTCTCAGCTCAAGTGGCTAAATGTTTTAGGTACCAGATCATCTGTGTGGGTGTGGGACCGGATCCAGCCGGATCCATCCAGAACACGCAGGACAGCCGGCCGTGGCGCTGCGGCGTGTGTGCCGCCGACCTCCTCCTCCTCCTGTGGGCACAACACATTTGACACAAGAGTGCTGATGAATCTCATCAGTTTAATGTGTTTATGCTCGCTAAGCCCTAAAAGCTTATTGCTGTTCAATGGAGTGCTACAAAGTTACCTAATTCCCTTCGCCCCTCCCAACCCCTCGGTTGTGTCTTTGCACGCCGGCAACACAGACTCCCAATAACACCATGCGTTGCGCAACCAGTGGAAGACGGAGGCCACGCCGTGTCCCAATGATTTGTGTTTTCGGGCAGAGAATAGACTTTGACAGAAATATAGTGAGCGCAGATATTACCGCTTTTTTTTTTTTTCTTCCCCTCACCTTAAATTCAGCCCATGACTGTCTCTCTCCCGCCACATTGATCCCTTTTTACCGCCTTTTCACGCTAAGTACTTTAGCCTTATCTCGGCTGCCCCCACCTCGCCCGTCTCACACTCCACCCAACGAGGCTGGCTGCCTGTACGACAGCTAACACCCACCGGTATTAATTAAAATGTCATGCCTCCGAATCAATATTGTAAAACAGTTCAAACACAACTCCTTGCCACTGCTGTGATAAGTGCTTTTGGGTGACAGGTAAGTCCGGAGAAAGAGATGCAGGAGAATGGTATGACGGAATTAAACGGAGCGAACATGTTACATTAAAATGTACGACCCCCCACCGCCTCCGCGCCGCCATGATGTGTCACTTCATCGCCCACAATCGCAAATTATCCACACTGTCAAGAAGTGTGTGCCTCGCTAAACTGACAGACCCACAAAGTCAGCAGCAACAGGCCAGGAGGCTCGACGCGAGAACTCTTTAGCTCCAGATGTCTGACTGCAGCGCGTTAAAAGTGACTAATGCACACTCATTTGGGAGGGGGGGCTGTCACAGGGGGGATTTATCGGTGCTGCTAAAGAGGCTGCAATCCATCTGATTACGCTCGCGTTCACTCCGCTCTGTTAGGGCGAAGATCCCCCCCCCCCACAAAAAAAATAAATCAGAAAAAAGGGGGCAGGTTGTCACCGAACTATTTTCACTGTGACACAACGTATGAGCTTTTGCAATGAATAAAGACTGTGTTTTTTTTTTGTTTTTTTTGCAATATTCCAACTATCATGAGTGACAAATGGGGTCGATCTGAAACTTTGCAGGTCCGAACGTGTTGGTGCGCGCTCGCTGACAGACATTGTTCAAAAGCAACGCTCTGGATATGGATAGAATGTGACAAATTCTGTCAGAGTAAATAAGGTTTAATAAATGAATTAGCTTCATAAATAATGGCTGTAATGACATTTTAGGGGACAATAAGCCTCGGCGTTGTCAGGAAATAGTCGATGTATGAGTTTCATGCCTCAGCGGTTCCTCAAAATGAATAGGCTTGGGAAGATAGCAGCGGCCTGCAACCAGCCTATTTCCTCGAATTATCTACTTGTTGTCAATTTGCACAGTGGAATTACACATGCAAATTGGACTGGCTGCACAAACACCACTTGGAGATGATAAAAACAAATTAACAAAGGCTATAGAAGGAGGATTTATTTCACTGGCTAACCAGGGTCAAGCAATACATGTATTTTACAATTGTGTGTACCCAATTTTGGTGTAATAATATCAGCAAATTATTCTTTTTAATCTTATTATTTCTCCTGCAACCTTCTCCTTACACACATAATTAACTTCCTCGCGAAAAAAGAATCAAGCTTGCCTCTGCATCAGAGCCGCTCGGTTTAATCTGATTTGAGGGTTCGTCCTCGTCACCTTCTTGCCGCTCTCACGAGAAGAAGGTGAGAGGTGAACAGTTTAGTGACACTGTTTAGTGTAACGGCTCAGTAAAGGAGCAGACCGATCTAGAGCAGAAGCCACAATGTTAAAGTATAAATAATCGCCTTTTAACATCCTCACTCATATTGGGGGAAGATATTAAAAGTCCCCGGACCTCCACGTTTGCTATTAGATATCTCATTTACTTTGTACACACAGTGCTAATCTGCACTAATGAATTCTGCCACACCAAGCCACATCGAGATGACTTAAAATTATTACCACTCGCAAAGATATGCTTTTCCTCATTTGAGGCTCAATTTGGCTGGCTGGCAAAAAACAGTCTGTCACAGTAAGATACTAATAATTAGGGTTTTAAGATGATTAGTTTATCTCCGTGCTCTTGCGGTCCTGCTTCTTATCCGCCATGGCCAAAACTTAATAAGAGGCTCTAAGTTTTAAACAGCCAACTCCAAATTACCAAGAAATGACGGAAATAATGAACCGGGGCACATAGAGAGAGAGAGAGAGAGAGAGAGAGAGAGAGAGAGAGAGAGATGCATGGCGGGAGAGCTGAGAGACATTAATTCAAGTGTGAAATAGAACACAAAGTCTAGTAATCAATAAGGAAATGATTCAGACCTGTAATGCCAACATTGCTTCGTATTAACGGGACTTTGTGACTCTCATTTACCTTCAGACGCTGCCGTGCTCATCAACTTGTCACACCAGTAATTAAAGTCACAATAATGCTGAGTGAGTGATACCAGTCAGCGGTTCCATATTTCAGAGGATGAGATGGAGATTTGACATGTTCCAGATGACGTTCAGTATAGCGTAAGCCTTTTCATCCCAGTTTAATATGAACTGCGCTTTGCGAAGCCGAACTGCGTGAATCTTGGGTGCAGGAAGGTCAAGGAGAGCGAAAGGTCTCCATGGCGATTTTGTCCATATTTGAGCAACAAAGACAGCGCTGGGTGTCAAAATACTTTTTATTGTTAGCGAGAAAACGTTTCCGTGGCACTAAGTATCAAAAGCGGCCATTGGATGTGTTTCAATTCCTTGTTCTCCCCTTATTGGTGTTTAATTTGAGAGCAGCAACTTCTTATTATTTTCATTATCCATTAATCAATGGATTCTTTTTTTAAATTATTAATTTTATCTTTAAAATGTAAAAAATAATGAGCTACGCCAATTACAAGATCGCACAGCCTATAACGGTGACCAACAGTGCAATAACAAAGGGGTTGAATTTTAATTTGATTTTAGTTTATCGTTTCTAAAGAAAACCGTTAATACTAACATTTGACAAGCTGTAGAAATGCTTGGCATTTTTACGTGATAAATAGATTTAAATGATTAGTCAATGGATTTTTTTCTTTGCAAACTCATTTTGTGTCCGACTGATTAATGCTGTTTCAGTCCCAGCTGCTATAAGTCATCGCTTTGATGACTGTATTTCATTGGGTTTCTCCATAGATGCTTAAAAATTTGAGTTCAAAGAAAAGGTTTCCTTTTGGCTTTGAAATCAAAACCATATAATGTATATATACACACTCTAGAATTCCCTTCTAGTTGTGCACAACCCTGCTGCCTCACCTGAGATACTTTGTCTTCCAGAAACTTTTCCTCCACCTGCTTGGACCCGACTATTGCCCTTTACAAATGTTTATAACGTTATATTGGTGTTTTAGGCCTCACTCTGCATTCTGGCACACAAAATACAGGCTATAATTTATGTAGATTATTTGCTTTGCAATAAAATGCAACCAAAAGAAAGCCTAATGTGAATGAGTGTGAAAGAGCAATTTAAGGGTAGATGTGCCTGTGCCAGTGCCAGGGGCTATACGAGATTTGCATGCTAATCATTCTAATAATAATGTAATGCCCACAGCGCTTTGAGCAAATTGCGAACCACTGGTCATAGAAGGCAGCTTATCTCGCCGAGAACATGACACAAATATAGGTTAACATTTGAATGATTCCTGGTAATTCACGGACCTGTCAGAAGCCCGGCTCACCTCAATTAGAAATGCTCCACCACAGCTCGCTCTTGACTTTACTTCACTATCTTAGACGGCCATAACTCCTTCATGCGTATGTTCTGTGCTGTATATTTCACGATATCCGAAAACTCTGCACCATGAAATCGTTCTGCTCGACAAAAGGAAATAAAATAAAACTATAATTGTTAAACATCATGGTGGTTGGAAGAAACAGCTGAAGAGGAGCTTCGGTCTCGCCGCCCAGCATTTGTAAGTCCAGCTCCAATTGGACCGTGTGCACAACGATCCGAGTGATCCACCAATCGGTGCGTTCCCCTCAAATACGTCACAGTGTTTACCCGGAAGTGAAAGCGCGTTCCAACGGCTGCTGTCAAAATACATTATTTACCAATTTCTGACCGTTTTAAATCAGCCAGATGATGCTTTAACGTATAATCAAACTGTAGTCCACTGGCTCGGAATGTACAGCGGACTCTTGCCCAAAGGTTTAACCGAAGACGACCTCAGCCCGGACGAAGAGGAGGATGCTGCTGAGGAGGAGAGGGAAGGAGAGAAGCGTCGGGTCTCTGCAGAAAAGTTAAGCTCTGCGGGGGAAAACACCGCGGTGCCTCCGACGGAGGCTCCGTGGACTCACACCGCGAGTGATGGAGGCAGTGATCCCGCGACCAGCGGCATGCCGGGGGTCTCCCACGAGATGTGGCAGGTTTGTGCACCGTGCAGCGAGCTAAAAGGAACGTGCTCTCTGTTAAATACAAGCTGGCTGTCGTGTGCGTGGGATAAATCACGTTTACAATAACAATAACAATACATTTACTTCCTACTGCGTTATCAAAATGTGAATACATGTTTTTTGTTGCCCTGGGCTAATATGTGTGCGTCGTAACATAACGTGTGTAAGGCAGGAATATAGATCTAAATGTGTGGTGCCCTTGGTTTGGCTTTTCAGTCTGTGTGTGTGTGTGTGTGTGTGTGTGTGTGTGTGTGTGTGTGTGTTTTAAGAAATTCCAGGATCTACGGAAGAAGAATGACGAGATGAAAACAATAAAGGACCCCAGACGAAAAAAAAGAAGACGACATAAGAAAGGTGCGAGTGATGGTTGCTTCAGGGAGCAGCCTATGTATTTTCTGAAGTTCAGTGGTTAAAAGTCTAATCGTATTGTATTAGAACGTTAGGCCCCCCTCTAAATACTGTATACAACACTGGCTAACCGGTCAGACTTAAAGAATTTTGTTTATCTGACGCTTATGTGTGTCAAAAGTCTCCCACTAACCTGTAATTGTGTCTTTTGTGTCTTGTGTCAATCAACAGGAACAGAGAGTCAGCAACCCACAGAGACAAGGTACCAATTTATTATGTCCAACCAGTGAAAATAATTGATGCAACGAAATATGCAGGTTATTCATTCGGCTCAAAAGCTGAATTCATGTAGCCAAATCTCAGATGTGAAACGGCCCAAGCACAAGAGGACAATTTATCTCAACAAAGATAAAAGCAGACATAATCGCCATAATGGATCAAACACAAACAACTATGTTTGCTGCAAGCTGATGCTCGTGACTAATTGAAAACTATAAAAACCCATTGTATGCTTTGGAAAATGGCAGTATTCTCGGTTTGTTGTAGGCCTGCAAGAAAGAAAGATCATTTATAGCAAAGCGCTATTTGCTCCGTCATGTATCGTCAACCAGCGTTGCGTCATAGCTCGGTAGTTCGGTTTACCTTTTCCCCAGCATAGATCGGTCACCTTACCGAATATCGATTCCGATACCAGCATATCGAGATTTGAGTCCAGTTGCAGGATGGACAGTGGCAGATAGCCTTGTCACAGTGGCGGGCTGCGGGGAATGATCACTGACTCACTTTCTCCCCCCGTCAGCAGCGAGCGTCTGGAGGAGCGGGAGAAGCACTGGAATGATCTTGAGCAGCACTTTGGTGCAAACGATCGATTTGATCCCCCCGCGTGTTCCAAACCCCCTCCGAAGGTAACAAAGACGGCTGCCTCGCAACTTATCTGCCGGGGTTTAATACTGTGTGTCAGTAGAGGCTGTTAGCAACACCTTCCTGTCCTTTGTGTGTCTGTGCCCCGTATCCCCTCATTGTTTTACGTGATATGACACGTGGATTAGGGGAATCCTTGTGCCTTCACAACCTGACACTGAGATGAATGTTAAGGATTATGTTTGGCTACATTTAGTGATAAGATTAGGGTGAATCTCCTTTCTCGTGTGCCTGAGATTAAAGAGAAGTGAAGGTTTTTCCTTCTGCAAAAGACCTAATGTAAATCTAAATTTTGCTTGGCAAAGAAGAGGGGGCTAGAGCACCTTACACAGCGGCTGTGACTGCGCCTAGAACACTTAAATTAATTGTCAGATAATGAATGGGCATGTGCCGCTGCTGTGGAATTCATAATTGAAAGAAATTATAACTTACTTCCTTTGATTCTGATTCATTTCTGCACTTAAGGCTGAATGAACGCTTTATTGCGAAGGCTCGTAAATTGCCAATGAGGCAAAAAAAATATTTGCAAGCTTGATGAACATTTTAGCTGACCTAGTGAATGGGAACTGTTTCATTTCAATTTAAAATCCTTTTAATGATTATTTTGTAGTATTTTGTGCTTCATTTTATCAAAGAGCAGCATAAAATTGAGTTTTTGCTGATTTTAGCCTCCTTTTGAATAGAGCAACTATGAAAGGATAAAAAGAAATGATTAACCAGCTGAATGAAACAGGACTTGTCACATCAACATAATGAGGGGGCTTCTTCATCCCTCAACTGCAGTTCCATGTAATTAATATATCATATTTTCTTTTATTCTGCCAAGTCTTTCACACAGTCATTTGAGGAAACAGCTGTCATAGCAGCCAGATGTTATTAATTCATCGACCAGCATTTCTCCAGTGACCTTATGGGATAAAGGGTTATCTTCTGTCACTTATAGTTGTGTGTTGTGCGATACAATCAACAATCAAGTTGTTTCATTTTCAGCTTGCAGAATAATAAACTATATAAAGCAAAATCAATTAAAAAGAGTTATTGAGAAATTTGTCAAACTAATTCTGCATTTTTAAGCCTGATAGAACTGTCCTCGTACTGCGGTTGAGTCAAGGACTTTAAACAATACATCAGAGGGGACCCATTAATAATTACAGCCGCTTTCCAGTGATTTTTCTTTTAGCGTGATACAATTTTGGAGGCAGACGAAATCTGGTCCACCGCTTCCTCAGAACTGCCTCGCCATCAGTAACCGGGGGCCTCTCTGCACCCCCTTCTGCTCAGGCCTGTAATGGAAATGTGTAATTAAAGAGTCACATTTATGTTTGGTAATCTCCTGTAGCATTTCTAAGATTTCCGCACTAATATCCAATCAAAAAGGTTTTCATTTGTGAAGGGAAATCTACATATTTGTAGTAATGGCAATCATATTAAAAATAAGGCCCTGGGGTCCTGTGAAGTTACTCTTTGATTCTCTCTCTCCTTCTCTCTCTCTCTCTCTCTCTCTCTCTCTCTCTCTCTTTTCCCCTATTTCAAATAAAAAATAAAAAACTGTTTTTTTTCTCCCCCTCTTCTGCAGTCCGGCCTAGAAAAGAGCATAGAGACGGCCATAGCTGAAGGGGACATTGCAAAGGCGGAGGAGATGAGCGACAGACTCGCCACTCGAGAGGTACGTTGTGCTGATAAGTGATCTTTGGGGCTGCTCCCGCCGTGACAAATCGGGCTAATGGATCCGTGGCCATTTCTGCTGCAAAGACATAGAGGAACAAAAACACGCACGCAGACACCCACCATTCCGTCCTGCAGCCCTTTTCCATTGAGTTAATGGAAAGCCCTCCCCTTAGTTTTGAAGTGCTGCAGTGTCTAAAGGACTTTTGGCTCTGCTTTTTAATGAAGGGTACATTGCTTTCAAGCCAACTGTTAAATCGTTCTGCAGGTAAGAGTTTCATACCTTTGAAGTGTACATGTCCCTAAATGCATCGCCTGAAGTTTTGTAACTCACCGACTTGGCAGGCATCAAGGATCAAGTGGTTTGAAACTAATTTAGCATAAAATGTAGCCCAACACACATGTAATTGTGTCCAAAAAGACATAGAGCTGCGGTGCTACTTCTCCACTGGTGAAGTTGCCTCACTGGCAGCATCAAAGTTAAACTTCTTTGTTTCATGATGCGTATTGCCCACAGCATCCCATAAGCCTTTTGGTTTTATTATAATAGCAACACAAACTTCTGAAATATTGGTGATCTTGTGTTTCATTGTTAAGTTGCAGTGGCGTTGCAAAGAAGGAATTATATTCATTTATTTATTTAAGAAGAAAATAAATCTTCCCTCATTTTTCCAAAGATTTATCTATAATCTAAAAGGTAAAGGAGGATAAAATCAATACCTAAATATGTCTTGAGATGCCAGCGGGGATGGTCAGGTGGACACCTATTTCTCTTCTTGTGAAAGTGTGTCCAGGTACTAAAATATATATATATATATATATATATATATATATATATATAGATCATTTTTATTGTAGATTAAATGATTGTACATAAATATACTGAATGTTGGAAAACACAAAAAAAGCTTAGAATAAAGACTGAAAGCAGAAGGAAATAGCTAGAAAAGCTCTGTTGCAGGTAACAAAATCTGCCCAAGAGAAGGTTCTGTGCCGTACTTTACCTTTATGTGACCAGTAACTTTCTGTTTGTTGCCAGGCAACTGCTGGCATCCCTATAACAGAATCTGTAAGCACTCCAATTAGATGTTTCTCACCAATATACACTGTAGGAGTTTTATTCAACTTCTCTCCTCATGTTTGTTTTCTTCATATCAAAGGCTTTACCTCTCTGACTTACTGCCTTATCTGTCTTTTGCGCTGATGTACGAACGCCCCACAGCATCTTTCGCTTAAACTATACTATAAGACTGCATCAAAGTATCTGCATCTCATCTGACCTTCAGACTACATGGTTCACCTGAAAAGATGATATCCAGTGAGTAAATCTGTTAAGCCTCATGAGTAGGCTGCAACACCATAGATCTGTGTTTAAAAAGGGGAGAAGAACCAGTTGTACTATGCATTGAATCGCCAAGGACCCTCCTTTAGTGTGCGGCTTCAGAGCACTGTGATATTCCCCATCGCAACTGCGAGCACAGTGGTCAAATAACGGCGAGTTAAGCGAAAGCTCTTGTGAGTGGCACCTGCGCAGTGCTTTGAGAAAGCCTCTTAGTTTTAGCCTGAGCCGAGGTTCTCGCCTCCCCGGCACCTGATTCGCGTCTTGCCAGACCCGTGATGAGCGAGTGACAGCCGCCTGGCAGCCGCGGCGCATTGTTTAGCAGCGATAACTTCCTTTCGCCAGAGTCGAGTCGACCGACCGCTTTGAAATCCCCGAAAGACGTGAGGTGCTTTATCGTTCGCTCTCGATGCAAAGAAAGTCTTTGCTGAATGTGAGGAAGGGGGAGAAGTGGCAGCTAAAAGGCAAAAAAACAAACAAAGTTTGACGGCTTGTGAATCAGTTAGAAAGGATTATATCGTGCGTTAAACGCCGCAGCCTGTGTCGCAGATAGCATTAAGACCAATGTTTGTTTACCGCGCTCCCGCTCACTTTTGACAGGAGCGTTCCTGACAGACATTTAGAGGATCAATAATCCCCGCTGTGGCCAGAATCAATTTCAAGGTCATAATTGAATGCCTCATTTGGCACGGGATGGCTTAGATGTTTAATTTGTTTACGGTCATAACACCGAGACGTGATTGTGCCAGGCTTTTCACTGCAAGAATGGGAACAGGTTTTCTCTGCGAAAAAATGCAAAAGCATTTCGACAGCTGTGAAGAACTAAAGAGGCCTGTTTGTCCCTCTAGGCATTGTTTTGTTAAGAAAACACTGGTGCGCGTTGGACGACAATGCTTCAGCGTATTTTCACCCTCAATCTACCGCGTTCCCACTTATCTCCTCAAAGCAAAGGCAAATGGAAGGAAGATGGAGAGCTTGCTGTCAGAATCCCCCCCCTTTTATAAGACGAGAAATGTTTGTTTCTCTTGCTTTTAACCTCCTCAAATCAATTGATGATTTTTCCTTTGCTCCGCTTTCTTCTTTTTAATCGCAAACATTAAAACAATTTGGTAAAAACCTGTTTTGAAGTCTCCTCACAAATCCTGAGATATGTGTTCTTTCATCTGTCAAACTTCTGAGACGCGCTGCTCTGGTATCTCAGGTTGGGGTTTTATTCTCATTACAGTTTTTAAATATTTCCCAAGGCTGTTGGTCTTTGTTTTCCATGAATTTACAGGGAAACGCTCCGCTCTTAAGAAATCCCATCCTGTTTTAAGTGACAAAATATTATTTATGTCTACACAGACAAAGCTCCCTGATGTACTCAGATTGGGCTTCCTCACAGAGATGACTTTTGATCCTTCACAACACGTTTAGATTTCCTTTCAAATGCCTAAATGGACACAAAATCATGTAAAAAGCTTCCCGCCTCTAAAGTAGGCCCAGTATTTCAGTAGATTAAAAGATGCAAGTCCTCAAATTAAGAAGACTGGGTCTCCATCCTTTGATTGCTGCACTGCTGCGGAGTTGCATCTGGGCTAATTAATGCAATAATTAGCATATTTGGTATCCAGAGTGAGACACTGCAGAGAGCTGACATGTCGGCAGCACTATAAGGACCGGGGGGGGGGGGGGTCCTGGTTACTGGTACTGGTTCAATATGTACAGTGAAGACACGCTGCTAAGTTTGATGAGGTTTCATGAGAACTCTGTGTGACCCGTTTAAAACGAGCCACCTACTACGCCACCACACACAATTAATACATCAAACTAAATGAAATACTGTGGAAAGTGTTTTTCTGGCCGGATGGTATGACAAATAAAACTGCAGGATTTTTCTCTTTATTCAAAATAACTTCTTCTGTCGCACAAATTAACCTTCTCATTGTAGACCATCCTCCTTCCAACAAATCCTTTCCGCCTCGCTCCTTTGTCTTTTTCTAACACAAAAACACTAAAGTCTTTTGAAAATGTCCCGAGCTGTACTTTATATACAGTAAGTGGGCATATTTCACCACAAAAGACGGTCACGGCACGTTAGAGTTTACAGTTCCCCCGTAGCCCTCATCACAGCTATTAGAGCGGCATTACCACTTCAAAACAGAAACTCTGGTAGTCTCTACCAATGGGAGGGGGGGGGGGGGGGCAAGTCCATTTCAACACCTCCAGCAGCTAAAGAATATGAAGAACGGAAAAGTAGTTCCATGGCTGCTGGCTTCTCCTGAATCAATGCTCGCTGCCTGCAAATGTGCCCACAAACAAAGCAGCACAAACATCCCAGAGGGCCGTTCTTTATTCCCGGTCTGTAATGGGAGAAGGAGCACATCCACTACATTCGACACATGCCTCCGACGTAACCAACAGCTGTAAATAATTGTATTCATAGATTCTCGACTCACTGGCTTCATTTCCATCCAATAGCCACTTTTGGGCTTCGGTCCAGTTCAGGCTCACTTAACCTCTGACCCGGTTGGTTTCACCGGTGTCACACATGGATCCGCTTCTCTCTTCTTCTTCTTCCATTGTAGTCGTGATGCGGCATCACAGAGGTGGAAGAACCCACTGAAGGGGCGTAGAGGGGACACCGACCGTGCTGGATGGCCTTTGGCCGGTGGACCCGCCTCCAAAACCTGTTTAAACCAAGAATGACCCGATCAGACGAAACCATTTGGAAAGGGCTCCCTCCTAATTGTTGGATCACTTAATAAACCACACTTAAGCCGATGAATATGCATTAACTAGAGGCATTTATGCTTTCTTTTCCGTGTTTGAACTGGTTATAATATCCCTTCATTATGTCCCAGCTCGTATTTCAATAGCAGCGGCGGCTGAAAGGAAAAGCCCCACTGTCCTTGAAATCTACCCTTTGGAAAGCCTCGCCTAAACGCTGTGAAACAAAGGTGTCGCGGCGTTTTGTCGGCGGAGACATGGTGGCTTAGTCAAAACAAAGAGCTGCACTAAGAGCGTTTCATGATATTTATATTCCTTAGCACCTTTCCTTTTTCTTCTCCCTGCCATGCCCCGTGTTTGTAATCAAAGAATTAATGAGCGCCGCCTTTGTGGAAAGTGAGATTTATCAGATTGTGACTCTCTCCGCCCCACGTCGGAGGAGGAGCCCCCCCCCCTCCCCCCCGCAGGCCACGTCGCACAGAGTTTAGGGAAACTCTCCTCTTTGTTCCTTTTTCCTTCAGCATAAGCAATTTATCACTGAATGAACTTTTATTGTATCTCTGGATGACTCACATTAAATTTTCGCCCATTAATTTCGAAATGGATTTTGAAATGGGTACTAAGCTTTTATCAAATGCCTGCGAATCTCATTTGGATTATTGTATTTCATTAATTACTTGATAGACAAAGCATACTTTTCAATGTAGATTTGTGTGCTGTTTAATTAATTAGCATGTTTTCTCTTTTAATTAAAGGCATTTCTTTCTCAAATTAAAGCCCAGAGCAAAACACATATATAATTTGTTTGTAATTAGGCCTTAATTGGTGGTAGTGGAAGCTTAGCACTGTCGGTTTCTTTTTTCATGATTACCATTTTATTGCCAGTCACTCATTAATTAAACTGTTTTTTTCTAATTAGCTTATAAAACTGTTGATGGCCTATTATTGTAAGTGTGAGTTCAAAGCTCGCTAATAAGCCTCCCCTACTCAGAAGAGGCAAGATAATGGAACGTGCACAAAGCAGACCAACTTTCAGAGATTTCTTTTTGTTTTTTTTGCGTGTGGTCCCTAAAGATGCCGTGTCATGCGTACGTGGCATCAGATTGCTGACGGAGAACGATGTAGACATGGCGGTTTCACCGCGGCGTCCCCGGAGAGGCTTTCTTTCGGCGTGCCGTGTTTGTCATGGTGGAGGGAAACAACATGGAGGTGCACGGTGTCGGGTTCGGACTACCGTACTTGCTGATACGTTGACGTTACACCAGCAGTGTAGTAAATATTTTAAAGTTTAAATGATCAATCAAGTTAGTCGATTGACACAAAAGGAATCGGATTCATATTTGAGCTATTTTTTTGCAGCATAGAATTTCTCCCCACCAGTTGGATTAACTGCTTTGGACAAAACATGCTAATGGACACGTCACACGGGTATTTAAATGAATTATTTTCAGACCAAACAATTCAATGAGTAAACAATTCATGGACCAATAAGTGATTAGACCAATCATTAGTGGCTATACACACTTCATGTTAATAGATAATCTTAATGTTACTGCTTGGACCAGCGACACCTCGATCCTCGCATCGATGCAGTAGTTGAAGCCGGGAGGTCTTTATGTCCCCGTCCTTTGTCTCACACCAGACCCGACTAGATTCTCTGCTTTCACTGCAGTCCATCACTTGTGAACGCAGCTCTGCCTCCCTTCCTCCCTAATGCGATACCGGTGGTATTGATTGACCTCTCCGACCTTTTGACCTTGGCGATGTCACTGCGACTCCGGGGCTCTGCGGCCAGAAACCTTTTTTTCTTCCCCCTCCTCCGCCTCACTTGGAACAAATTACGCTGAAATAACACACAAGCCGCCTAATCTGATATTCATTCCTTTCTTATACAGCCCTGCTTTCCAAAGTTGACTAAGGCCACATTATTTAGGCATTAAGGTGATGTGATAAAGGAATTAGGCTGGTCATTAATCGTTTACACGTCAAATGCAGCGGAGCAGCTCGGGGAGGTGATTTAGCGAGGCAAAGCCATGCAGCCCCTGTTAATCCACCTCTCACACGTTTTAATTGGAAGAGGCTTCTTGGATAGGAAATTTATGAATGGGTTTAAGGCCATTTCTCCCTTAAAGCCATCATTTATTTTGTATTGTTAATAGGAGCTTTAACACTTTATCCACCCAGAGATGTATTTTTCTGCTCTTTCATTTAGCCATTGTCTTTTTTTTCTCCACTTGCTGTTTAATTGCCACAGTGTTCTAGTGAAGCCTGTGCTGCTCATGAGGACTTGCTGGTGCTCCTTCTGTTCGTCACACACCTCAGCAGTGATGCAATGGAGCAGACACGCACAGGACAACGGAGTGTGAAACTGTCATTAAGATAGACTTGCTTAATCTGGCGTACGGCTCATACAGCAGCAATGCAGAGGGTTGTTTTTTTGTTGTTGTTGTTGTTGTTGTATTAAGGCCCCATAGTTGGGTCTCCGCTTGAATCTCCATGACGACCCAAACATGAATGAACAGAAAGCGTTACTATTGACTTAACCCTCCTAGTGGCCCTAAGCTGCTGCTGCTGCAGTGCCAGCATTGTGCGTGATGAATTTTTTTTTTCCCCTCGAATCTTGCAGAGGTCAGAGTATTAATCCTCTGAATAAACCTTGTTTTTAACCCGGCTGAGAGAGAGAGAGAGGGAGAGAGAGAGAGAGAGAGAGAGACCTAATTGTATATTAGCACGTGGTGGAGAGGGAAGAATTGCCTTTTTAGGAGCCACACAAACAAAGAAGGCATGAGGTTTCCCGTCTCCTGCTTTGTGCTTCTATTCTAACCCCCCCGCCCCGCCCCAGCCTCTGATGTGAAAGGATTTGGTACTAAGATGCAGACAAGGGGAGGGGTGGGGGCGCAGGGAAAGAAATCCTGAAAAGTGGATCAAAAAAAGTAAATGAAAAATAATGTCATATTACTGAAAATATGAGAGGCTAATTTGTGCCGACTTTTTGCTAATTTTGTTCTCGCCACAGAAAGGGGAGCCGTCACCTGCTCGGCGCCGCAGCGCTGACAGTGCCAGTGATCCATGAAATAAGCTGCCGCTGGCTTTGTTCAGATAAGAATGAACAAATCTGCACAATGTACTGCTCTCGGAATCTCATTTTCATACTTGCATGCAGGCTAAAAGGAATAAGCTGTTTGCAGGCTTGATTAATCAGACATTTCAGGGGTGGTTTTTTTTTGTGTGTCTTTGATCTGTTCTGTCTCCTAGGTAACTTGGTTGACATTAATGTTGAGCCCCTCTAAAGACAATCAGGGACTGGAGACTAAACCGATAAAAAAAAGGGAAAGACCTTTAATGCTTTAAACACGGTAAAGGCTATGTTGTGAATTTAAAAGAGGGGGGAGTGAGGGGGCACTGACGTGGGTTTTAATTTTGCTCTGGGAATGTTTTGGGAAGGCGGGTTTTTCAGACCTTTTGCATTTCAAATGCAACCCCACAGGAGAGCAGGTTAATGTGGGTAATCCCGGTGTCTGTAAAAGAGGAACGGCTCTGCCTGTAAATCTCCAAATGAAACCGTTTAGCATCACGCAGTTTCATTTGATTTGCCCCCAGAATGAGCCAAAGTGGGCTTTTCCCGAGGAGGGGCCAGCTCTCGGATTTGTCAACAGTTTAATAAAGGCCTGGTCTGTAATCTCTGCGAGCATCACAGACACTCGGAAGCGTTTAGCACCTACAGCACGAGGAGCCGAGCGAACCCGGCGTGGTTTTATCCGCTTGCAGATCGCCGGCAGAATTTAAGAGCATGTCACCCACTATACTATAAGTCTCTTTCAGAGGGGAAAAACATGGTTTGAGGAATTTAAAACCTATAAAATGGAGAAATAGCTGGAGAGCTGTCATAGTATGTACGCTTCAGGTTATGCAGACGCTTTTGCAAATCTTCCAGTGACTGTATAGATGAATGCCTTGAGGGCCCCGCCGGAGCCCAGTACTTGCAGCCAGCCGGAGCCCTTATCTTAAATCCAAGCAAAGTACCATTAATCTTTTTGAAAGACCTTTATGGCTTTTAATGTATCCCAAATTAGAACATTTTACACCCTTGGTTCCTGAAATATGGTGATAAAAAGCCTTTAGAGTTTAATTTTTCCTGCCTGCTCGCTCTGACCTGCTTAATCCCAGCATGCATTAGGAGATATTTTAGTTTCACTCTTTCTAATAAAGTTTATCCCACTTAATTATAATTGAAACATTTTTTTTCCAAGCAGGTCTTTTCTTTTTTCTTTCTTTTGTGGCGCAGTGGTGGCACATATCTTCATTACCTAAAGACTTTCAACACCCCCCCCCCCCCCAACACACCCCCCCATCTCTCCCTGGATTGTACTCTGAATATTACAGAGAATTGCCCAAAGGTTGGGGGAAATTGTTCCAAGTTGTTTATCAAAGTTTGCCTTTTGCTTGAGTAATAAACCTATCTCAAGAGTGGCGGGTTTTCCTCTTTGTTTCCCCGCGCTTCAGTGTGACTCGGGTTATTGGGATTATTCTGCTTCACAATACAAACGTCCTCCACGGGATTTGAATGTTTGCCTCTTGCAGTCACGGTCCTTCTCTTCACTTCTGATTTCCGGCAGAGCCCGCGGTACCCCAAACACAAATAAAAGTCTCCTTTACACTGGTGGCGATGAGGGAAGAAAGGCTGTGGCGAGGTTTTTGAGGCGGGGGGGGGTTGTTAGTTATTGTTTATTTACTCATTCTGTTATTTCATTTACACATTAAACAACACATATCAAAGAAGTATTCAAATAGAAAGACTATTAGCTGGAAGCTTCAAAGGAGGAATCGTGCGGCTTTATGTTGAACTATGAAACACATAATACTGCATTTCTTATGTTTAGTTTTAGTTTGACTATTTGCCAAGACATGTTTCCGGTAGCTCTGGTGCTGAAGATGATAAACAGCTGATTTCTACAGAAAAATACATGGAGTACTTCAGAATTTGTGATCCCAACATTAGTGATTCCTCCTCTATTTATTTTTCCGTCTTTAAAATAGTCCAAAAATAGTCTTCAAATTGCTTATTTTTACTGAGCAACAGTCCCAAGCCCCGATGTATTTAATTTAGCATTACAGACAACTAAGAGAACCAGCAGATATTTCAAAAGATGGCATCTTTCCTTTAACCGCAGACTCAAACGATTAATCGTTTCTTGACCCCCTCTTTTTCTTTCATTGCATTTGGAGAGCAAACACTTTTCAAACGGAGGTTTTTCAGCACAGAAACAAGTATATAAAATGCTATTGGACAAACTGTATGTTATGCCTCTTACACATGCATAGTTCCCTCCTGTTACTCTTCAGCTGTTTGTTTAGTGCGTGTGTGTGTGGGGTCAGCGTGTGACGGACTCTGCGTGCGGAGGAGCCGCCCCGTCACGTCCGTCAGACGCGTTTTTTTTCTCGCCGCAGACCGGGTTCCATCCTCTAACGGGCCTCTCTCCCTTCTCTGCCTCTAAATAGCTGGCCGTGAAAATCGCTCAAGCTGCTGATTGCCGTGACTTTGTGCGACGCAAACAGGAAGAGGACGCTTTGAGGGCAGCGCAGAAAAGGAAGAACCAAACAGCCTGGGGGTAGGAAGTCCCTCCCTCCCTCCCTCCCTCCCTCTCTCCCTCCTGCCACGTCTGCCACTCTGGGCTCAGGCTCAGTTGTGACACGGCCACAATTAGCCGGACTTTGAATGATTGCTCACGCAGAGATTAAGGTCGACAGCTGAAATCCTTCTGTTCTGTTGCAGGTTCGAGGCTAAGAGGCGATGGGAAACCAAAAGCAACATGGGCTTCATGTGACAAACACGGAGGAGAGCGACCGGATGGTTTTAGTTTACTTTGCATTCGATAGAAACTGTTTTTTTAATGAAATGGCGAACTCTTTGTGTATTTTGAAGACTTGAGTGTGTGTGGGGATGCAGTCGCACAGTTGACTGAGGAAACATCAATCCAGGGGTACTAGAGGGAGAGAGGGAAAATTATGGCGCATTGAAATTAATTCCTAAGGCGCCCGTTGGTGTCCGCATTGTGCTATTTTTCATTACATTTCAGTGATTTGAGTGTTCTGCCCCCCCCCCCCCCCCTCTTTCAAATTAAATCTGGTGTACATTACTGGATGATGCGTTTATTTATTGCTGTAAAGTGGGTTAATCATGAAGGCGCTTCTTTTCTTCTTCCCAGCGAGAGAAAGGAAAGATTAGGGCCCTAATGCAATGTACAGGATAATGTGCGATAGGATTTGGGAGAAGAAAATGAAATTTGGCTGCTGTAAACAGCGTGTGAGCAGTTGTAAACTGGAAGTTTTGGGCGGGGGACGGCGGGGGCTGGACACGAAACGCAGGCTTTGCTGTTGGCCCTCGCCCATGTCGGGAGACAAGCTATTGTTCCTGGAGGCCCCGCGCCGCGTCTCCGAGCAGCTCACTGTGCCACCGGCTCTCTCCAGCATCCGTAAACTCCTCGGTTCCTCTCGCCGACGCTTTGATCTTTCTTTCCGATCTGCCGCGTTTGCCTCCGCGGCCGCTCGCCCCCTTCGCTCAGATTCCACAAAGTGTTAATTGCAAACCGCATGCAGAGAAGCACTAGCATGATAATTACTTTTATTCATAATGCCTGCTTCTGTGTTTTTTCTTTTTTCCAACCGTAGAAAATGATTGCTTTGCTTGGAGGTAATGAGAATTAAAATGAATCCCACCTAAGTTGTTTGCATCGCACATATTTGGGCACTTTGTCCCCCGGTGTGGAGCAGCGCTCTCATAACTGTGCTGTGTAGGCTGAAATGGGGCGAGGTGAAAATGAAACTAAACATCAGAAATAAAAGTTTGTGGGCAAATTATGACACAGAAACCTGAGTTGACCGAAGACGGACGAGATTATGAAAAACAAATGCTGGAATTTGAAAAGTCCCCCTTTTCCCATCCAAGCGAATGGCGCGGCTGTCAGTTGGTGAGAATCGGTGCTAATTAAACTATTAATCGTCTCTGTAATGAGACGCGAGTTAAAACTGCGTTAAGCACATCAAAGGACAACGTGGGATTTCTTCACTTTGATGACTGCTGTGAAAAATAGATCTTGACGGAGGAGAGAGAAGGCATCACAGATGCTTCATTAACGGAACTGAAAGTGGTCCGATTTCAGAGCCTTGTGGAGCTTTGGGCTCGTTTGCTTTACAGGTGTGTGTTGCACTCTCAAAAAAGCCTGCAGCCTTCAGTGCTGCGTTTACCGTCTCAGTGGAAGTGTCTGTGACGTCCATGCAGCCGTTCTTTCTTATGTCTTTAAAGCTACTAGTTGTCGGCGAACATGGCAGCGCCGCGCCGTATCAGTAGCATCTCACTTTGTTAATCGGGAGGAACAAAGGACGACGCCCTGAGCAGAGATGATTCTGCTTCTAAGCTGTAAAATGCAGCCCCCCCTCCCTCGCCGCGGCGTGGAGCGGCTCTCCACCAGTCGTTTCCTGCAGGCCTGACGGAGGCTGCAGAGACACCGTCCTTGGGCACGTGTCGGGCCACTTCTAGGAAGACTCTGAGTTGTGTGGAGTGGGGGAGGAAAAAACAACAACAACGACAATCCCATTAAACGGTGGGAAAGCTGGCTGTTGTGTGAAAGGGAACATGTGTCGGTGGGAGCACGACATCGGCACTATCGCTCGCTGCTATCGCCGCAGAGGAGAGGATTAACTCCCAGATGCAGCCGATAAAGGGAAGCGACGTCGGAAAAAGGGGCTCACACCTGACGGAGCCCGTGGTGGTGCTTTGTTGGGGTTCAGGGGTGTTGCTCTCGGGTGAAACTTATTTTCTGGGTTTATCGTGAAACATCGTGGGATTTTTCATGTTTAAATGAAGGTTTTAAGGCAGAATTTATAAAACGCAGGATACGTTTCACTTGTTTCCACTGTGTGACAAAACAAAGCAACATTAAAGAAAACAAAACTAATCTTAACTTTAAGGAGAACTTCAGAAAACACTTGAATATTTGAGACAAGAAAAAAACATTTTAGAAACCTTTGTTTTTTTTACACTTTAGAACTCACATTCAAAAAACGTTTCATTACCAACCATAATGTGTTTTACGGGTTGTGTTTTGGGAATGGCACTTTCTGTAAGTCCTGAGCCATTTCAGTACACAAAGTACACAAGTTGTACCTTGTGTACCTTCCTCTCCAAGCAGCGCAGCACGTGAGCGAAAGGCAGGCTGGATGTTGACATATTCCCCGGCTCATTTAATGACCTGTTTAATTCTGACACGTCTGCAGCCCCCTCAGATGTTTTTTTGCCGTTTTAATTAGCGTAATTGTCGCTCTTCAAAAAAGGCCACAGGGTTGTTTAATAGGTCATGTTTGTCAAGATGCACAGAATTATAACACAAAAGATATGCCATTCAGTCAGCGCCACAGTCTCCAGTGATTATGGGTGTCACAATTGTTAATTAGAAGAAGGAGTGATTCATCTGAAAACCAAAATGAAGCTCTGTGCTGTGAGGAAATGACTTTGACAGCGGTGTTTACGCTGCAGTGCGGCGCTGCGGGATCCCTCGACTGAAGCAACGTGCGCACACACACACACACGTGCTGCTGTCTCTGGACGCGGAAGTCAGCCGATGTTCCTTGTGACATCCGGACTAATGGCGAAAAGGAACTTGTCATCATATTGTGGATGTAGGGTTTCCTTCTGCAGGCCTTTGTCCCGCGATAAGCAGAGGTTATACAGAATGTATCCAGTTTTCAAGCCGCACAGTACAAAGTGCTTGCATGAGATGATGGTAATTCTCAAATGCACGTCCTCCCATGAAACCCATAATGTAGCATGCGGGTCACTCACACATCCCCTTAATTGTTTCTTAGTTTGAAACTGCTTGAAAAGCATCTATTTTATCATTCAGCATAACTTATAGAAAAATTAAAATGAACTTTCAATTAATTTTCTTGGTTTGCTATCGCGAAATAAAAACATTCCCGAGCGCAAATATGCTGAGCGTGCACTATTATGCATTCATCTTCATTCGGCAAACCACATGCCGCATTTTATCTGAATGAATTATTAACGGCGTTAATGAATATTTCATTTTTCTTTATGGAAGCATTTAACGGTCCCAACAGAGGTAATGACATCTTAAGCAGTGACACGTACCTGCAGAGAGAGGAGGGAGACACATCTGAGGCTACATTGAGACGTCCTGTCCCTGTTTCCCGTCACCGACCGCTTCCTTCAGGACCTCCCCTCCCTGTTATAGTGTAGATGCCCACACACGTGGACCTGAGATCCCTTCGTATCTCAGAGAATGGGCCCAGCATGATCGAGAGCAGCCGGGGGGGATTTTCACTCAGCAAATGAATTGAATGGGTGTAAATAACGTTACCTCCATTTGTCCCGGGAGAGACCTTGATTAGAAGGGGGGAGAAACCGCACCGGACGGACTAACTAATACTGAAGCTGACGTCCTCCTTCAATGCAGAGGTCATTTAAACCTCTTTGCACACAAAGCTAACACAAAATAATGATCATGGAATGTGTTGTTGTGTTGATTTTATTGTTGTTGTTTTTCTCCCTATTCATTTCATCTCAGGAACTCTTAACCAAAATCTGAATGTGATGAAAAGCTTAGAGGACTAAAAAGACACAAAAACACTTAAAACTTGACATCTCGTTACATGTCAAGGACCAAATCTGACAAACAGACAAAAAGCAAACAAGGGAAAACAAAAACGAAGTGACAATACCGGAAGGATGTTCCCAAACTGAGAAGCTCCGAATGTAAAAGAAGATGTCATCCTCTTGATTATCTATGGCCTGTTTGGTTCTCCCTCTTGTTTTTACCGAACTGTTCCTCGGGGGGGGAATTAACTCTTTGTAAGATGGAAGTCCAACCTCATCACTGATCCCTCATCAAGACATCGAGGGACCTTCACCGGTTATTTGTTATTCTTTTATTGGTTAAGAGTTTCACGCTAACGTCTTCTGACAACTCTTACACTGATCCGAGCTTCCGCGTTGACTCCAAATCTTCATTCCCACACAGTCGTCTCGTGGAGCGGCTGACAGGCCCGCTGAGCTGGGAACCAATTTGTGTCCCGACCCCAACGAAACTCCAAACTCTCCCAAGTAATTCCCTCCATTCCGACTCCTTAAAGCTCGTCTCGACATAAACAATAGCAACGCTTTGTACAAGTGACTCTAAAACCTCTGCCAAGCCTAATTTATCATTTGAATGACAATGGACCACTTAGCACTGCTTAAATTATTTCGGAGTTCTATCTGCTACTTGACTGTCTTTGTGTTGCAGCAGCGGACGATCATTAAGGCCACGGGGCGACGCGCCGCCCTTATCTGCTCCGTCCTCGGAGTTCACACAGAAGCTGCTCGGCCATGACGGCAACAACTTGTTTTGGATTATTCCAGGAGTGATCGAAGTCATGATTTATGGGGTTTAATAGTTTAAAGTGTGTTTCCGACACGACACATTCGACCGCTTCTTCTCACAAGGAACTTCAATTTACACAGAGAACAACGCTGTTAGGCATCTAAACTATTCAATGATGGTAAAATACTAGGTTTAGGGAAAAATTGTGAAATGCTTTGTTAAGTTTAGGAAAAACCCAGCATATAGGAAATAATAAGAAGTGTCGTTACTGTTGTAGGCAGTTACCATTTGTTCAGTTGTTCAATGAGCCAGTACTAAGAGACAAAAGTCAAACTATTTGTCATAAGAAGTATATTTGTTGTCAGTCTTGTCCTTTAAAATTCCTTCAAACTGAGAACCTCAGATTTTTGTATTTATTTTCAAAAAAAAAGTGTAGTATTCAAACCCGTAGTTCACGTTTTCTATCCATGATCTCTGCAGCGTGACAAATTTGGTGCCTTTGGAAACTTTGGGATTTCCATTAAAATGAGGTTCTGTGGGTTTGGATGGTGTTTGGCCAAAGACTACGGCTCATTAATTAACACATTATATCTCATTCGTTTAATCCGTGCAAAAAAAAAAACTAAAGCTGATGATTTGTGGCTTTAAAGTGGTTTTTGTAATGGAGTCTTTCTGATTCCCTGCTATTTCTCAAAGACTCCAGGAAGTCGCTGTTGATTGGTGGGTTCTTGTGGTGAGGTTTTAGCCTTTGACCGAGGTCGGGCTTCGCACATCTCGCTCCCTGTCGTGTGTTAACTTCCACGTTTAGCTGACTCTCTCCCTGCTTCACATTTAACGGGCCGACAGGAGAGCGCCGTGTCCATCGCCTCATGTAACTCTCTGCAAGAAGGCAAATATGTCTATTTCCCAAAATGTTAAACTGCCTAGAAGAGGTCACACAGTCTATTTGATCCATCACACCGCTTATTTATAATGAAACCTACAGTACCGTAACAATAATCATCTAAACAAAGCTCTTCTTTCATCTGAGCTGACAGGAAGTATTATGTTCCGTGTTATACAGGTACCAAATTCCTGTGCCTCGTGCTGCCTTCTTCTTCTCAATACAGTGATAACTGCCGTAATGAGATTTGCCATTAAGAAAGAAAAGAATGAAAAAAAGGACCCCGGCCATCTGTATTAGCTCACCATGGTAAAAGGCTGAATGCTATCACGCCACAATTCAATCGCCGAATTATACCCTCTTTGTGTGCGCAGGCCTGGTGAGCACCTCGCACTATATTCATTTCAAAAAAGGCCTCAATTTAATTAGTTCTTATATGTTAAAAAATTCATGGATTTG